GTGCCGACTGAAATTCTGACCTGAAGACCTGAATGTCAGCAATTCGAATCTGTGAGATGGGGTGAGTTCCCATCTGTCAGCCCCAACTTCCCATGCAGTGACATGAGAAAAGCCTCCCACAAGATGGTAACACATCCAGGCATCCCCTGGGCAAGGTCCTTGCAGTCTGCCGATTCTCTCACACCAGAAGCGACTTGCAGTATATTCTCCATAGGTAGGTCTTCAGCCAAAAGGTTTTTAGCTTCCCACAAAAGGAATATTCATTTAGAGCACTACCTAACTATTCCACTTCCACTACCCTTAAGAAGAATATATACTAGGGCTAGGTTTGAACAACTCAGTATTATGGTGCAAACCGGGCGCTACTGTAACATCCCAAGAAGTGAGAGATTCTGTGTCTGGGGAGAATAAACAGGGGAAGACATTGAACATTACTTAATTGACTGTCCAGCATATACTGAACTGCGAGACAGATATTTACATCCAATATTATCCAACTGCAGGTCCCCCAACAGAAATGATATTCTGACATCCCTCTTGCAAGGGCAGGAAAGATCCAGCATAATCAGAGTAAGCCTTTTTATTCTGAAAGCTATTAAGAAAGCAGATTTCCTGAAAGATGAACCAGGAAAATAAGATTCTGACTATAAATAGGAGGTCAGCTGCTGTCCTCTCCTTTTTGCCTTGTTTTTTACTCATGTTTTATTTTGAAATGGTCATATGACTGATCAAATAAATAAATATATTATATATATTATATTATATTATTATATATTATATTCTCCATTTTAGAAACCTTGCTGAGTCAGACTAAAGCCCTACCTTGTCCAGCATTCTATTCGCACAGTGGCCAACCAGTTGATTATAGAAAACCCACAAGCCACCTTCTCGGTGGTAGCCTCTTGGCCATGGAATGCCCTCCCTATAGATATTAGATCGGCCACCTCCCATTTAACATTCCAGAAAAAAAGTCAAGATGTGGCTTTTTGAACAAGTGTTTGCAAATGCAGAGTAACCGACATAGGAAAATGAGTCCAGACGACGTTTTTAACAAGGAGACAGTATGAATTTATATTTTACTAGCCGTCCCCTGCCACGCGTTGCTGTGGCCCACATAGGAGTTCTGTGTGGGAGGTTTGGCCCAAATCTATCATTGGTGGGGTTCAGAATGCTCTGTGATTGTAGGTGAACTATAAATCCTAGCAACCCAAATGTCAAGATTCTATTTTCCCCAAACTCCACTAGTGTTCACATTTGGGCATATTGAGTATTCGTGTAGAGTTTGGTCCAGATCCATCATTGTTTGAGTCCACAGTGATCTCTGGATGTAGGTGAACTACAACTCCAAAACTCAAAGGTCAATGCCCACCAAACCCTTCCAGTATTTTCTGTTGGTCATGGGAGTCCTGTGTGCCAAGTTCGGTTCAATTCCATCATTGGTGGGGTTCAGAATGCTCTTTGATTGTAGGTGAACTATAAATCCCAGCAACTACAACTCCCAAATGACAAAATCATTTTTTTTGAGTGAAGAACATACATTGGGTTGTTAGGTGTCTTGTGTCCAAATTTTGTGTCAATTCGTCCAGTGGTTTTTGAGTTCTGTTAATCCCACAAACGAACATTACATTTTTATTTATATAGATTTATGTCTTAATTTTTATTATATGTTATGTTTTTAATTGTATTTATGACATTGTAAGCATTGAATTTTGTCCTGTTAATTGCCTTGAGTTGCCTACGGGCTGAAAAAGGCGGTATACAAATACAGTAAATAAATAAACAAACAAACAAACAAATGTTTAAGCATTCTCTCCACATTTAACTCACACAGCAAGATGAACATCTCTATATCTCACATGTATGTATCTGTTAAGAACTTAAGAATACTTAGGTTCCGTAAGAAGGACATTCTGGAAAAGATATAAATACAGGAAGTGAGAGAAAACAAAATTTAATTGTCAGAGAATGCTATGATGTGACCATTATTATATTTTGTTGAGAGAAACCTCTGGCAACATAGCTTATAAAGGGAGAAAGTATTGACATAATATTCAGGGTTGAATCAATTTGTGTATGAGAGGGAGGGCACACGTCACACATGGCCAAGAAAGAGCTCTGGAGACATAGAGTGAGGATAAATTATCTTAACGGCAATGAGACAGGAGTTGGACTTTCCATCTTATCCTGCTGGTTCCAATCACACAATGGTTTAAGAACTTCAAAAAGTACCCAAAAAGCACCATTTGACAGAAGCATTTGCATAAGTTTCTATGCATGATTTATTGGTTTGCAGATCATCTGGGTTTCAGAATGTGGTTTCTGCAGATTGGGTGTTTATGGCATTGGGAATCACTATGTTGTATTTATGTGTGGCATGAATAGCTTTCCTGGAAGTTGGCATTCGTGCAATTTCTACAGAATACAGGTTTATCCAGAATGAGCGATAGAAGGTGGTTCTCCTGGAACGTTTGGAGTTTGGTGAATCACCCCCATGTAATAGTGTAGCACTGCAGGGTTTGGTGATTGTGGTTATCTGGAAAGTGTCTATTGCCTGGTCCTTGTCAAGAGTTTAGAAGTCAATAGATGGAGACCAGTTGGAGAGATCTATCTGCTCCTGATAGTAATGCTTTAAAGAGTCTTCCAAGTACCCTTAAAGCAGTGGTTCTCAACCTGTGGGTCCCCAGGTGTTTTGGCCTACAACTCCCAGAAATCCAAGCCAGTTTACCAGCTTTAAGGATTTCTGGGAGTTGAAGGCCAAAACATCTGGCGACCCACAGGTTGGGAACCACTGCCTTAAAGGGTCAAGAAAGTCACCTAGGCTAAATAAATCGTCAAGGGTGATGATGTGCAAACTCTTTGATCAGCGGTAGCTGCACGAGGAGCAGAATTGCACACAGGAAGGAGAGAGAATGGCACACATGTTCATTGCGGCTGCTTTTTTCCAGTCAATATCACTGACCAACTCAACAACTTTCTTATTTATTTATTGTTTTCCTTTTTTATACTCTTCATATCATTTGGGGTCAAAGTCCAATTAAGAACAGAGAAATCTATGTTTAATTAATTTTAATTAATTTTGGACTACATGAATTCTTATTCATATTTGTATTCTTCTTATTCATATTTTTATTCTTATTATTCATATTCTTATTAGTATTTGTCTTCTTCCTATTATTATTATTATTATTATTATTATTATTATTATTATTATTATTATTGTCTGTTGTTTTTTATCTCCAAGTAGCTTGTTTTAAATGACAAAGTTAGTTATCTGGAATTTGTGTGAATATGTGTGTGTGTGTGTGTGTGTATCCATTTTCTTTATCTTCTTTCATTTTCCTTTTTTGGAGGCAAAATTTGTGGATATGCAGGACCAGGTTATTGTGCAAAATCTGTGGATTACAGCCTGTGCCCATCATCCCAGGTGGCCTGAACTGTTAGCCACATCTTGGACACCTGGACGTTCAAATCAATCGGCCACATTTCGGCCACTTTCCATTGAAATGTTCCTCTGAAAAACAGCCAAGGAAAGTGGATCCAAAGTCAAAATACAAGAAAAATGGTCCAGCCGAGAGGCACAGAAATACATCTTGGGAGTTGAAGTTCGGCTAGGCCTTCTCAAATTACAACTCCCTTTCGCAGACTATGTTGGCTCTGTTTATAGTTTGCACAACAATGCATTGTTGAGTTCTTTCTGTTTGAATAATTCTTCATCTTGTTTTCCCCAGGATATCCTTGAAACCGTAGATAATAGAAAAGCCTATTGAAACGAAGGGCTACTATAGAGACATACTAGGGGAACTAAACAATGCCTAGAAAGGACATACTTTGTCAAGTCAGCAAATGAAATTGTGAATATTGAATACTATTGACATGAAGGACTTCCTGCACAGGAATGCCAGACACTCATTGGAGGACCTAGAAAAGGCATAGTGAGGACATACAATGCAATAGGGCAAAAATCTCATAGTAAATGATCCTAAATATTTTAGAAGCCAACAGAAGAATCCATGAGTTTCCCTTCCATTTATTCCACTGACAAATATCAGGACACTGAAAAGCTGGTATAAGAGCAAACCCTATGAATATGAAGGACTTCCTGCGCAGGGATACCACAAAGTTGTTCTGAAGGGCCTAGGAAATGCCTAGAGAGGATGTATTCTGTTGGATGTGGATAAACGAAACCAGAGAATAGTGAACCCAAAGTGAATTCAAGGACAAGGTTTAATTCTATTGAAATGAAGGACTTCCTGTGCAGGAATACTATAGAGTCGCACTGGAGGACATAGACATATTACAACTAAAATATTTTAAAATATCTTTAAATATTTTAAAAACACATAAAATATCTTGCAAGTCAAATATTTAAAATACATATTTAATTTATTTTAAAATGTTAAAATATTTTAAAAATATATTTAGATATAATCGACCAAAGTATTAACCACAATACATGGACTGAATATACGGACTGAGTTGGACATGTTTTTTTATCTTGGCGAACGGCTTTTGTGTATTTATTTTATATGCATTGTTAATTTACTGTTGTTATATGTTGTTTTAGATTTTTACTGTTTAGCATTGAATTCTTGCTGTCAGCCAGTCTGAGTCCCTCTACAGTGGTAGAGAAGATCGGGATATAAAAGTTTTAAATAAATAAAATAAATAAATATATTACAAGTAAAACTATTTGCAATAATATTTAGATATTTAAAAGCTATATTTAGATATTTAAAAATTGAAAAATATATTTTAAGTTATATTTACATATTTCATTAAATTATATTTGCAATAGTATGAAATCTTCTGTGGAATTAATGCTACTATAGTATGAAAGAATGAATAGTCTTTCATACTATACAGCATTGACTTTTCCTCCAAAACAAAATGGCGCTCCATCAGCCTAAGAGAAGAGAGTGGCCAGGCAGTGATTGGTTGTTCCCCTGGAAACAAAACGTGATTTGAGTAGATATATGTCCACAGAAAACTTCCAAATAAGATTGTTTTTAGAATTCCATACAATCAATTCTTTTATTTGTATACAAATATGAGGAGTGGTCACTCAAGACCCCTTTTTTTGGTATACATTTTTATTGTGATATATGAGGGGGAAAAACAACATACAATCTTTGAGATTCACCAATCAAAATACAAGTATTATTTTTCCTTGTCCCACCACCTCCCCATTCCCAGCTGTGAACCACTACCCATGACTTCAAACACACCATATGGAACTAATATGTAACAAAAATCTGTCCTTATCATTCCACTAATAAATCCTCTGTTCAGCTATTTCAAAATCTACTTTTGTCTCCATTTTCTAGCGAAATCTTCTTTGTTTCCTCCCCTTGTGCCATTGGAGATCTTGGGCATTTGGGTATACTCTACTACCTCTCTTCTCCAATCCTTAACAAGTAGTTTTTTCCCCCTTCCAAGATTTTGCTACAGTGATTTTTGCTGCCATATAACTATAATAGCAAATTTCTACATCTCCTTCGTCAATTCTCTCCTGAAACAAACCCAATAGGCACATTTCTGGGTTTTTCTTAATCTTCTTAGTAATAATTTTATTGGTTTCTTGAGTCATCTTTTTCCAAAATTTTATTACTACCATACAGATCCACCAAACAAGGAAGAACGTGCCTTTCTGCGTTTTGCATCACCAACATTCCCCCCTTTGGGATTTATCAATTATAGCCATTAATTCAGGAGTTGTATAACTTCTACTGAAAATTTTATACATATTTTCTCTGATAGATCCCGCTATTGAAAATTTAAATTCTTGTTTCCATAAGTATTCCCAGTTACCCAAATCTATATTTTTCCCTAAGTCTCTGGACCAGGAAAGCATTACCATTTTTATTCTATTGTCTTCCAGGTTATACTCTAGAACACGGGTCCTCAAACTAAGGCCCGGGGGTTGGATGCGGCCCTCCAAGGTCATTTACCCGGCCCTCGCTCAGGGTCAACCTAAGTATGAAACTACTTGAAAGCACACAATAACAACAACAATCCTATCTCAACAGCCAAAAGCATGCCCACACTTTCCATTGCAATACTAATTAGTTTATATTTGTTAAAATTGTTCTTCGTTTTAATTATTGTATTGTTTTAAAATGTTTTTGCACTGTAAATAAGATATGTGCAGTGTGCATAGGAATTCATTCATATTTTTTCGAATTATAATCTGGCCCACCAACAGTTTAAGGGACTGTGACCTGGCCCTCTGTTTAAAAAGTTTGTGGACCCCTGCTCTAGAATATATTTGCATAACCCGGAAATCAATCCTTTGTCTTCTTTCCCCAAAATATTTTTCAACTCTGATTTCTTTTTAGTAAACCCAATGTTATTGGCTTACTTAAATATATCCCGTAACTGATAACAGAAACAGTAATTTATCCCTAACTCTTCTCTCCCTTTTAGTTTCCACTGTCTTTTTTCTTGAATTAGATATTCCCTATAAGTTCTCCGTTCTTCATTGTATGTTGGTTTTAACATTGATTCCAAAGGGATTTTCTGATCCATCCCTTCTTTGTATCTTTTCCACATCGCTAGAAGGCTAGCTCTTTTATCAGATGCCTACTAAAATCTTCGTTAGCTTTCTCTTTTCCATAACTAGGCATGCCAAATACATCTCAGATTGTGCCCCTCTAGACTAAGGAAAGATTGATTTTCTAATTTAATAGCCAACTAAATCCTGCAGCATCATAATAGTATCTAAAATCTGGAAGCACCAATCCTCCTCTTATCTTTTGCATTTATTTGATTTCTATAAACAATTCTAGCCTTTTTTCCCATTCCATATAAATTTAACAATTTCCTTTCTCCATTTCTCAAAAAACCTTCACTCCCTTAATTATTTGTAAATTTCAAAATAAAAACAGCATTTTTGGTAAAATCATCATTTTTAGCACAGCTATTGTTCCTAACAAGAAAAATTGAATCCTTTGGCGTCTATCTGGGCCTTTTTTAAACCTCCTTCCATGCCTTCCTATAGTTATCTTGATATAAATTATTATTTTTATTAGTTATCCGTATTCCTAAATATTTAACTTTCCTTGTGACCTTACATGCTGAAACATTCTCCAGTTTATCAATATTATTTTTTAGTTAAAAATACTGATTTCTCTTTGTTTATTTTAAAACCTGTCACACTTCCTTACTTAATTATGCTCATCAAATTTGGTATTCTCTTTATAGGAACTTCTGTAATGACTACCATGTCATCCACATATTCCTTAAATTTAAATTCAATGTTTGATCTCATCTTCAGCATAATTCCTCTCTTTTAAATGAGTTCAGGTCTCCATTTTGTGTCCCTCTGTGAAGGGGATGTCCTTCAAAAACCAAAGCGGTGTCCATGGTGGCGGCAGCCATTTTGTAGGCACCAGCCTCTTCCTCTCGGGACACTGGGCACAGGTCTTGGAGGCACCACCTGAATAAAAAAGGAAGAAAAGATGGGGAAGAAAATGTGCCTAAACAAAATGTTCACCCTTTCAGCCTGAGAAAAGGGAAAAGCTGCCACTGGGTCTCATCTGTCTGTCTTTTCCCCCAAAACAAAATGTCCGCCCTCTCAGCCTGAAAGGAACAGACAGAGCAGCTGCCATTTATCTCAGACAGCAATTGAGTTTTTCTCCCAAAACAAAATGATCACCTTCAGTCTGAGAAAAGTAAATAGAACAGCCACCATTTTGTCTCATAGTTCTGTCTTTCCCCCATACAAAATGGCTGCTGTCCCAATTTGGGGGAAGTCAATAGAGCATCCACCATTGTGTATTGGCTAACAATTAGCTTTTCCCATGGAAACAAAATGGCAGCCCTCAGCTGAGAGAAGGAAATAGAGCAGTTGCCATTTTGTCTCGGGCAGCAATTGGCTCTTCCCACAGAAACAAAATGGCTGCACAACAATGGCCTCCGGAAATATTCCTCCATCCTTTTCTGTCTCTTTCTCTCTCTCCAGCTTTCCTAGGCTTGATGCCTTCACTCGAGTGAGGCTTGAGGCCTAGGAAAGCTGATATTATGAGAGACTAGAGCAGTGATGGACAACCTTTAGAGCTTGGTGTGTTAAAACTTGCCAAAAAACTGAGCATAACTCAGGTGGGGTGTCACTTTGAGAAAAAAAAATAACAAAAAAATATTATTGTAATATATAACTGTATTTAATAAACCAAAAAACTAATTATTTAACTTACCTGCCTTTTTCTATAATGCCATATATCTCGGCATTATAGAAAAATGCTGGTGCAGGAGCCAAGGATGAAATGTCCTTCTTGGGGTGCGGCCCCATTCTTCTGTGTATGCAGCCAAATGAGGTTGCGTGTCATCGAAAATGGCTACGTGTGTCAGTGCTGACACACGTGTCATAGGTTCGCCATCATGGGACTAGAGGAACAAATCAATCATTCAAGCTAGATTGAAGTCTTGGATGAAAGCTCTCCTAGACCTAATTCCTTTAACAAATTGAGGCTTTGGGCCTAGTTAATCTGATGCTCTAGCTTTTATGATGGTTTATTTATTTATTTATTTTTCTTTGGGAAATACCTCTGCGCTGCGGTGATGTCTGCGGAGGATGCCTCGGGCCTGGCCCCATGTTCGAGAAGCAGAACTCCTTTTGAAAGAATCAGAAAGAAATAAGAAACGTATAGGATTCTGTCAATATAGGATATTATTTTCTGTCTTGATGGAGATTGGCTGGGAATTATTATTATCATTATTATTATTATCATTATTATTATTATTATTATGCATTCAGTCATCATAATAATAAAAATTCCATTACTATTATTACTATTACTATTACCATTATTTGTTCAGTATATATACAATCCTTTGATTGCAGCCATCATTGCCATCAACATTATTATTATATTATTAATATACTGCATATATACTCCTTGGATTCTATTACTAATAATAATAATAATAATCTGCATATATAAATATGTCTTCTTTAATAAACATTAAGTTGGAACTAAATATCCCAAAGTAATAATATTAAATAATATGAATAAAAATAAAAAGATCTTATAAGAGAGAACAAAATATTCCAATTTAGTAATTTCAAATAATATGAATAAATATATGTGAGAAGATAGAAATATTCCAATATAACAATCTTAAATATGACTTCCAATGTAATATTAAATAATACTAATAATAAATTGTAAACTAGAGCTAAATATTACAATGTAATAATATATAATAATAAGCTAAAATTAAATATTCCAATGTAATAATCTTAAATATTATGAATAATCCTCATAATATTTATTTACAATAAGGAATATTTTAAAAAATATTATTAATAATCCTCCATTCTCTCTCCTTACCTCCGTAGATCAAGGCGAGAGAATAGGCAAAATCTCTGGCCGCCATCTGGGCCCCAGAGGCCTCTTTGAGCCCCAATTCTTCAGAAAATTTCTGGAGTTTCTGGAGTGATTTCTGGACCATTTGGACAGAAGGTTTTAGATCTGGGGAATCCCGAGCGGATGCCATCTTGGCCTGGAAAGGAGAAGGAGGAAGCCATATTGGAGGTCAAATGGACCAAGAAATAATGATAGAATAATACAATGATATCTGTATAAATAAAATTGTAATGTTCATTTGTGGGATTAATGTAACTCAAAAACCACTGAATTGACACCAAATTTGGACACAATACACCTATCAGGCCAATGAGTGACCATCACTCATAAAAACACTGAAAAACACAGCAGAAGAAACTTTAAAAAACCAAGAAATACATGCGTAAAACCACATATATATATACGTAAACACACATATACAAAAATATATACACACACAAAGCACATATACATAGACTGGGCCACAGCAATGTGTGGCAGGGGATGGCTAGTAATAATATAATAATATAATGAAATAGTATACTATAATAAAATATAATGATGATATTATAATATAATAAATGAAACAATAAGTGCAAATAATAATAATGATATAGTGAAATAATAAAATTATATAATAAAATATGATAATGAAAATAATAATACAATCCAATTACAATAATAACCAAAAAGCACCCATAATAATAGGGCCTACATATACCTCAAAGGAACCATTCTATAATTGAGCTATTCATTCTTCTTTTTCTTCTTCTGCTTCTGCCATCATCGTCATCGTCGTCTCCTCCTTCAGTGGAAGGTGTTATTTTTGGAAGAATTAGACAAAGCCCTCCCAAATTAATGGGGTCCCTATCAGGGGGCCTTGAAAGCATGGAGATACACAAAATATGAGGGGTAACAATAATAATAATAATAATAATAATAATAATAACCCTTTTCCCTCTCTTAATGGAGATCCAAAGCAGCTCTATGTGCTTAAGATGTAATGTCTTCCCTCTATTATTATTACAGGGTTCCCTTACTTATTGCAGGGGTTCCGTTCCATGACCCACACGATAAATGAAAATCCGCGAAATAGGGATGCTATATTTATTTTAATATTAATATGTTTACATTATTTTATTTATACATTATTTTATAATGCACATATCTTATTTGTAGTGCAAAAATCACTTTAAAACAATACAATAATTAAAATGAAGAACAATTTTAACAAATAAACTTATTAGTGTTTCAGTGGGAAGTGTGGGCCTGCTTTTGGCCGATTGAATAGGATTGTTGTTGTTATTGTTGTTGTGTGCTTTCAAGTTGTTTCAGACTTAGGTTGACCCTGAGTGAGGGCTGGGTAAATGACTTTCTAGGGCCGTATCCGGCCCTTGGGCCTTAGTTTGAGGACCCCTGGTATACACTATTCCCCCTTGTGTCTTCAGTCTTCTTATTCACTTTTCTCACTCTCTCTCCCTCGCCCTCCTTTATTCCATCCATTCCGTCGGATCTTGCTTCCATGTTGTTCCTCTTAATCCTTGTTGCTTTTGATCTGTTTGTCATCCCCATCCCGTCACTTCCTTCTTCTTTAAACCTTCTTTCTCACTTCTTCCGTCACTCTTTGGTGTTCTTCTCGCCTTCCGCCTTTTCGTCCCTTCCTCTGATTGGGCCTTCTCTATCTCTCTCCTTTCTGTCCTCCAACCAACTCATCAGTATCTCTTATACTGAGTCCTCCAGTCTCCTCTCTTGCTTTTCTCTCTTTGTCTTTCGGAGTCTGAATCCTCCTCCGTCACTTTTCTCCTTTCGTCTCTTAGGTTTGTCCTTTATTTAAAAAATGCTCCACATAGACTAAACAACTCTCCCTCAAGGTCAGTCCTTTCCTTCTCAAAAATGGCACACCAGTTTCCTGCAAAACAGGGAGTCCACGTAAAGTGAACCACAAATTAGCGAGGGAACACTGTATTATTATCTACTTTCCTCTTGAGATCCACTGTGCCAATTTATATTATTATCATCATCATTATTTTGATAAATATTATATTTATAATTTGTTATATTATTATTATATCATTATTATATACCCCACTTCCTTATATAATAGAAATAATGATAATGATAATATAACCCACTTCCCTATCTTAAAGAAGACCCACAGTGCCCCAGTCTATGTACAACATCATCATCATCATCATCTCACCTGTGCACTGGAGAAGAAGGCCTGCATGGCATTTCCGTGGCTTTTGTGGATGGAGCGCAGGACATCAAGGGAGAGGATGTTAGTGGTCCCTTCCCAAATGGGCAGCACCTGTTGCAGGATGAAGAAAATACAATAAGGAAAAGGGCTTCCCTCTTCTATGTGCAGTATTATTATTACGAGTATTATTAGCATTATTCTCCTCACCTGGGCATCTCGGAGGATCCCCGCCAGCCCTGTGTCCTCCATGAAGCCCTGGCCTCCAAAACACTCTAGGCCTTCAGAGGCCACCGCAACTGCCTACAAGACACAATGGGAGGCAGATATGAAATCATATTATGTTATATTATATATTATTATATTATGTTTATGAGCTATTCAACAGTGGAACTCTCTACCGCTGAGAGGGGTGGAAGCTCCTTCCTTAGAGGTCTTTAAACGGTGGTTGGGCGGTCATGGGTTGGGAGGGATTAGACTGTGCTTTTACTGCATGAAGGCAGAAGGTGGCTAGACTAGATAGCCTTTGGGGGTATCTTCCAACCCTATGATTCTATCTTATATTAATAAATATTGTGTATGTTATATTATATATTATGTATTATATTATAGAATATTGTTATATTATATAACATTATATATATTATACTGTTAGATTGTAATATATATGACATATTTGATATTATCTTCTATATTAATATATTATTGTGTGTGTGTGTGTGTGTGTATACATATACACACACATATATATATATCTACGTATATGTACGTATTATATGCATGTGTGTGTATAGTTCATCTTGTTATTATTGAAATATCCTTGTGGGCTCTTTCTACTCTAAGATTATATTATTATTATTATTATTATTATTATTACTATTATTATTATTTGAAACACAACAAGATGAGTCTACAGTAGACACTCTGCTGGTGTTGAATTGGATCACACGTCGGACACTTCCCAAGTGTCTAGGACTGTGTGATGTATCGGTGAATGATGCGTGCAGATCCCAGTAAGGTGGCCTTCTGCAGCTGGCGGATGGCAATTTTGTCAGCACCGATTGTGTTTAAGTGCAGGCCAAGGTCTTTAGGTACTGCACCCAGTGTGCCAATCACCACCAGGGCCACCTTTACTGGATTGTGCCAGAATCTTTACAGTTCGATCTTTAAATACTCATATCGTGTCAGCTTTTCCAGTTGTTTCTCTTCAATCCTGCTGTCACCTGGGATTGCAACATCGACGATCCATATTTTGTTTTTTAACAGGATCGTGAGGTCAGGAGTATTGTGTTCCAAAACTCTTGTCAGTCTGAATTCAAAAGTCCCAGAATAGTTTGACATGTTCATTTTCTGTAACATTTTCAGGCTTGTTGATCCCACCAGTTCTTTGTCGCAGGCAGATAGTATTTATGGCACAAGTTCCAACAAATCATGTGAGCAATGGTGTTATGCCTCTGGCAGAGATGAGAGACAAGGCCTTCTCGGCAGTGGCCCCTCGCCTATGGAACACACTCCCAAATGAGGTAAGATCTGCTCCTTCCCTCCTGGCTTTTAGAAAGAAATTAAAATCATGGCTTTGGGACCAGGCCTTCGGACAGTAGATGTTTGTAGAGTTGAAAGGACATGGACTAGAATGGCAATACGACTGGCGAGACTGCTTTTATTATTTATTGTTTTAATGATTGCTTATGTACTGTCTAATTATGATTTATGTTTAATTGTGTTTTTATTATTGTGGTTGTTATGGATTGGCATTGCGTCAGTGTCCAATGTATGGCATTGAAGTTTTGCCAGTTATGTGTAAACCACTTTGAGACCCCCTAGGGGTGAGAAAAGCGGTATATAAATACTGTAAATAAATAAATTATGCCTCTGCTTGTAATCTGTCTGCGTGATCTTCTTGCAGCAGCTGAGGATGTGATCTATTGTTTCATCTGCTTCCTTGCAGAGTCTACATTTGGGATCTGTCGTTGACTTTTCAATTTTGGCTTTCATGGCATTTGTTCTAATGGCTTGTTCTTGGGCTGCCAGAATCAGGCCCTCCGTCTCCTTTAAAAAAGTTCCATTTGTGAGCCACATCCATGTTTTTTCTTTGACTATTTGGCTCTCAATTTTTCCCAGGAACTGTCCATGGAGAGCCTTCTTTTGCCAATTTTCTCTTCTGCTATGGATTGTGGGTTTTACGGTATTCACACTTTGTCTTTTGCACTTTAAGCACTTTTGCACTTTATTATTATTATTATTATTATTATTAATAATAATAATAATAATAATAATAATAATATTGGAATGACCATTGTGGCATCTTCATGACTCTATACTGTAGTTGTTATTATTAGAATGGCCATTTTTGGTATCATGACAATATTATATTGTTGTTATTATTATTATTATTATTATTTGATACACAACAAAATTAGTACACAGCAAATAAGATCATTATGATGGAATTTGTATCTGATCACACGTTAAACACTTCCCCAGTTTTTGTTGTTGTTGTGGGAATGGCCCTGTTGATGTCTTTATGACTCTATTATAAGATTATGATGCTCCTTGACCTGTTTGGCAGTGTAGAGCTTGAGGACGGGGGTCAGGAGGCGGAACAGGTGACGCTCTGTCATATCAGCCATCTTGGCCTCCTCCAGCCCCAAGAGCCGGGCTGTTTCCATCAGCAGCAGGAAGGCCCCGCGCGACTGGACCTGGAGGAAGAGGAGGATGGACTAAATTACCTTGGGGGGGGGGGCTTTCCAACTCTGTGTTGGAATGGGAGTAGATGCCCTCTGTCTCTCCCCCTCCCCAACTGACCTCCATCCAGGCCAAGGTCCGCACATGAAGCGGATGATCATTCAGGGTTTTCCCAAAGGCCTCCCGTTTGGTGGCATAGTCCCTAGCCAAGTGGGTCACTCTGTGGTAAAATAATAATAATAATAATAATAATAATAATAATAATATAATCCTAGGCCCTTGGGAAGAGTCCAATATTCAGAGACAAAACGCAGACACTTGGACCTAATGTGCTTGTGTGCTGTTGTACATAACAAATAATATAATATAATAATATAATATAATAAATGCAATATAATAATTAATATATAATCTATATATTACAATAACATTGTAACAATATAAACATGAATACAAAAATGCAATAACGATGATTATAAATATAATAATACATGTTATACTAAATATTATAAATATAAAATGTAAAGGTTTATCCGATATTAAGTCTAGTCGTATCTAACTCTGGGGGGTGGTGCTCATTTCCATTTTGAAGCTGAGGAGCCAGCATTGTCCATAAACACCTCCAAGATCATGTGGCTAGCATGACTGCATGGAACACTGTTACCTTCCTGCAGAAGTGGTACCTATTGATCTACTCACGTTTGCATGTTTTTGAACTGCTAGGATGGCAGAAGCTGGGCCTAACAGTGGGAGCTCACCGCGATCCCCGGATTTGAACTGCCAACATTTTGGTCAGCAAGTTCAGCAGCTCAGTGGTTTAACCTGCTGCACGACCAGGGGGCACAGTGGGTTATTTATATTATAAATATAATAATTCTAAATATAAAAAAATATGAAAATACATGAAATAATAAATGTATAGTCATGATAAATATAATAATATATTTAGTATTATATTTCTGATTCCATGTAAGATCATGCTTAAATGGGTGTGCAGATGGTGCTGACCTCCTCATGACAGCCACGGAACTGACGGCATTGTGGATCCGGGTCATGGTCAACATGGCAGCGATGGAGGGGATGCCGCGACCTTCAGGGGAGATCTAAGAACCAGAACATATTGGAGATGCATTATTATTATTATTATTATTATTATTAAATATAATAATAAATATATGATAAACAATAAATATAATAATTATAAATATTATAATAAAAATAACATTCATATTAATGTTATTATTAGCCCCGAGTCACTCACCCGCAAGGCCTTAGCACCATCCAATATTATTTCAGCCGTCGGCAACTGCCTTGTCCCAAGTTTATCCTTCAATCTTCGGATCTCAAACCCATTCCACCTCCCTTCGCCATTCAGTAATTGGAGATAGAACAAGGAGAGGCCCTAAGAAAGGAGGACATCATTCTTCTCCTTCTTCTTCTTATACTAATAGGATTATTATATCTTTAGTATACGTATATTATATCATAATTACTGCATTTATGATATGTCAATCAATATTATATTTGTAATATTAAATCTTTATTTATTATATTTATATTATTATATTTATGTTAATGATATTTATATCATTATTCTATCATCAATATTATATTTCTATGATTCTATCATTTGTATTACTTATCTTTTCTGTTATATATTATCATTTTTGTATATATTATATTTATACCATAATTACTACATTTATATTATTAATAATATTTATTTGTAATCATAATACTGATAATAAGATCCTCTGACCTCTTTAATATCTCCATCTGGAGTCATGACCCTGGCCAGGGTCAAGGCCATGTCTGAATCGGGGGCCGAAGTGAACCATTTGAAGCCATGAAGACTATAAGTCCCATCAGACTGCTCTCTGGCAATGGTTTCCGTGCCCCCGGCTGCAAAAAGGAAAGAGAGATAGGATAGAGAGAGAGAGAGAGATATGAATGGACAGATAGGAAGAATCAGCTAAAAGATATAGAAATATGGATGCAGTGCTTGGATATGGCCAAAAGGGAGAATCATAGAGATAGGAAGGATGAGCTAATAGGTGAATGGATGCCATGCTCAGATGTGGCCAAAAGGAGGAAGCAAATAGAAAGGATCACTAATATATACATAGATATATATACAGATGCAGTGCTCAGATATGGTCACAAAAATGGAGACATAGAAACAGAAAGGATGGGATAATCATTTATATATATATATATATATATATATATATCTTACCCACATCGGAGCCCCCTTTTCTCTCAGTCATCCATTGTCCAGAGGTCCAGAACATTCTAGGATCACGAGAGGTCAAGCGGCAGAAGGCATCCTCCAAGGGCTGGGGTATACCTAAGGACTAGATTTTTTAAAATGAATTATATATAATTCATTGAGGGAAATATTTCCCAAAATTTAATGTATTATATAATAATAATAATAATAATAATAATAATAATAATAATAATAATAGATGAATAAATAATATTAATCCTCTGACCTCGATGACCTTGGCGGCCCCATCAGTCATGGCCAAAGGACAGCTGAAGAGGCCCGAAGACGCTGCAAACAGGAAGAGCTTGGCCATTTGGGCAAGGCGGCTGCCAGAAAGAATGATTGAAAATAATGTGAAATTTATAATCTTAAAAAAATTAAAATATTTAGAATTAAAAAGATGGGCAAAATCTGAAATTTCAAAAATTTGAAATAGAATTTTTACAAAAATATTTGAAATTTAATGTTTTAAATCTTTGAAATTTGAAATATTTGAAGATGGTTTTTTAAAAAAATATTTGAAATTTAAACTATTTGATATTCAAAATATTTAGAATTTAAAATTATGGAAAAATTTGAAATTTCAAATATTTGAAATCTGGATTTCAAAAAAATATTTGAAATTTAAACTAGTTGACATTTAAAATATTTAGAATTTTAAAAGTTGGAAAAATTGACATTTAAAATATTTGAAATTTAAAATTTTGGAATTAAAAATATTTGACATTTATTTTGAATTTTTTTTAATTTTATTATTATATTATATTAATAATCTTGGAATGGATATGGATTCCCCCACCTCCACTGGGCATATCTCCTCTCATAGGCCTCAGCAACCAGGCCTTCCTCGGCCGCCACTTCCTTCAGCCGTTTCCAGGCTGTGCAGGTCAGGAGGTGGTCCTTCCTCTGACCCCAAGGGTCATAGTGAAGAAGCCTGGGAGGATGTAATTCACACTCTCGACCCAGGAAGTCAATCTCCTTCGTGATCCGAGCCCCAAACCGATCAAGGTCCAGGCTAACCTCCCCAAAGACCTGCCAGGAAGGGAACAAGATGGATTAGTGTTATATAATTGTACTATATTACCGTATATAAGACGACTGGGCGTATAAGATGATCCCCAACTTTTCCAGTTAAAATATAGTTAAGACGACTCGCATGCATAAGACTACACCCGCGTATAAGACGACCCCTGACTTTTGAGAAGATTTTCTTGGGTTAAAAAGTAGTCTTATATGCCAGAATATACTGTATATTCTATTACAATGTATTATTGTTATAATATTATATTATATATAATTACATTATACAATATATTTTAATTATATAATGCAAATAATATGCTATATACATACTACATACATACTATATATACACGCGCTATAATTTATATAATTATATGATAAATTATACAATTATAGAATATCTATTTTAATTATATAATACAAATAATATGCTATATATGCACATGCATACTATGTATACACACACTATACTGTATACTAGCTTGGGTACCCAATGTTGCCCAGATTATTTGAAAAAGTGTGTGGGTTAAACCTGTTTGTGGGGGAGGGGGCTTTCTGTGTAAGTGGACATCTCCATTTTCACTCGTGTTATGTGCTTAGATTACTATATTTTATAATATATTATACAATTATTTATATTATATATTATAACATTGAATCACAATATTATATTATACAATTATATAATATTTATTACTTATTTCATATTTGTTATAATTTATTATGGAATATTTATTACAATTCTGTAATGCATACATTACGCTGTATATGCACATGCATATTATATACACACACACACACGCGCGCGCGCGCACACACACACATTTAACAATAATATTACTATGACATGTTTTGCCCCTTTTCACAAAAAGAATACCTTTATATATAATAATATGCATGAAATAAAATAAAAATACAAAATAAGAACACAACCTGGGCAAGTGAGTGGGAGTCCAGGTAACTATCAAGTAATCTTAATATTATTACTACTCATAATAATATATAAAAACCATAATAATACTATAGAATAACAATAAAACAATAAAACCCACCTGGGCAGGTATTTAAGATTTCATATAACTCTGGATAAAGGATAATATGTAATAATCATATATATAACCACCATAAATCTTTCAAAGTCCCACCTGGGCAGGTAAGTGGGATCCCAAGTAGCTCTTGAGGAGAGGGTCTTCCTGAAAGGGGTTGCTAATGTGGGGCTGCTCCATAGCTGCTGCTCCAAAGGAATCCAGGCCTCTTTGCAGAGAAAACGGGACCTTTTTGAAGCTGAAAAGCCCCATTTCCCCTTTTCTGGTTTTCCATCGGAGGAAAGAAGGGCCTCTTCGCAGCAGCATTTAGTCGAAGGACAGCTAATAATATTCAAAAAATGCAGCTGGACTTTGTTCCTCCTTATATAGAGGAAAGGTGAGGGAAGGAGGACTCTCAAAAGACTGGGAAAATAATCTAGATTTAAAGAGATTTGTTATTTCAAGGCTTCACTCATTATTCTGAGCCCTAAAGGATAAAAATAAGCCCCCATAAGACTAAGAATAAATAAGAATATATTAAAATAATAATATATAATCATATAAAATACCTTTAAATATACCTGGGCAAGTGAGTGAGATTTCAGGTAACTCCCAACCAGAAATAATAATACAAATAATAATAATAATAATAATAATAATAATAATAATAATAATAATAATTGTGGGAAAGAAAAAAGTTTGGATTATTGATGTCGCCATACCAGGTGACAGTCGAATTGACGAAAAAGAACACGAAAAACTCAGCTGTTATCAGGACCTCAAAATCGAACTGAAAAGGCTCTGGCATAAACCAGTACAGGTAGTCCCAGTGGTCATCGGCACACTGGGTGCCGTGCCAAAAGATGGAAACAATAAACATTGATGATCTGACAAATTACAATCTGTCAACTGCTAAAGGTCACCTTACTTGGATCTGCACGCATCATTCAAAAAAACATCACAAAGTCCTAGACGCCTGGGAAGTGTTCAACTTGTGAATTTGTGATACGAAATCCAGCATATAGATCTCGTTTGCTGTGACATACTGTGTTTTTGTGTCAGTAAAATAATAATAGAATAGATAATATAAAATAATAATAAAAGGTAAAGGCTTCCCCTTGACATTAAGTCTAGTCGTGTCCGACTCTGGGTGTGGTGCTCATCTCCATTTCCAAGCCGAAGAGCTGGCGTTGTCTGTAGATGCCTCCAAGGTCATGTGGCCAGCAATACTGCATGGAGCACCATTACCTTCCCACAGGAGCGGTACCTATTGGTCTACTCACAAAAAGCTACAGACCAATCTCCCTATTGTGCCACCTCTACAAAGTTCTGGAGAGACTTATTTTGCATAGAATTACGGAAAAAATAGACCCCTGTCTGATTCCACAGCAAGCTGGCTTCAGGAAAGGCAAAAGCTGCACATCGCAAGTGTTGAACCTGACTCAGCACATAGAAGATGGCTTTGAAAGGCAGCAGATCACAGGAGCTGTCTTCATAGACCTGTCAGCAGCCTATGATACTGTGAACCACCGCCTCCTCCTGAGAAAAATGTATAATCACAAAGGACTACCACCTCACCCGCCTCATAGGAAACCTGCTACAAAAGAGGAGCTTTTTTGTTGAGTTCCAGGGCCAGAGAAGTAGATGGCGGAAACACAAGAACCGCCTACCTCAGGGGAGCGTGCTTGCTCCATCCATGTTCAACATCTACACAAATGACCAGCCACTGCCAGAAGGGACAGAGAGTTTCATCTATGCTGATGATCATGCCATTACCGCTCAAGCAGGGAGCTTTGAGATGGTAGAACAGAAGCTCTCCAAAGCTCTAGGTGCTCTAACTGCCTATTACAGGGAAAACCAGCTGATCCCTAATCCATCTAAAACACAGACAGTTTACCAGCCTGTTCAGGATTTCTGGGAAGCTCTTGCAAGGCCACAAACATCTGGGGACCCAAGGTCTCCGAAGCTCTAGGTGCTCTTACTGCCTATTACAGGGAAAACCAGCTGATCCCTAACTCATCTAAAACACAGACATGTGCTTTTCATCTCAAGAACAGACAAGCATCCCGAGCTCTGGATCACAACCAGACACAGTGAAGACATCTGCCCTTGCGCTACTCTGCTGCTGAGTACGCATGCCCAGTGTGGAACACATCTCACCACACTAAAACAGTAGATGTGGCTCTTAATGAGACATGCCGCATTATCACGGGGTGTCTGCGCCCTACACCACTGGAGAAATTACACTGCTTAGCCGGTATTGCACCACCTGACATCCGCCGGGAAGTAGTAGCCAATAGTGAAAGGACCAAGGCAGAGACATCTCCAGCTCATCCCCTGTTTGGGTATCAGCCAGCACGTCAACGACTTAAATCTAGACATAGTTTTCTAAGATCTACAGAGACACTCGCTGGAACACCTCAGCAAGCGAGAGTCCAAAAGTGGCAGGCTCAAACCCAGAACCTCAACCAAGAAATGTACCAAATGAGAGACTCCCCCCCGGGCACACAGAAAACTGGGCAACTTGGAAGGCGCTGAACAGACTGCGCTCTGGCACCACAAGATGCAGAGCCAACTCAAGAAATGGGGCCACAAAGTGGAATCCATGACATGTGAGTGTGGAGAAGAGCAAACCACTGACCACCTGCTGCAATGCACCCTGATCCCTGCCACATGCACAATGGAGGACCTTCTTGCAGCAACACCAGAAGCACTCCAAGTGTCCAGCTACTGGTCAAAGGACATTTAATCAACTACCATACTCGCAAATTTTGTATTTTGTCTGTTTGTTTGTTTTGTTCTGTTAGAAATGCAATACAATTGACTGGTTGCCCTGACACGACCAATAAATACATTTGCATTTTTTCAAACTGCTAGGCTGGCAGAAGCTGGGGTTAACACCCCGCCACCCAAATTCAAACCGCCAAACTTTCGATCAGCAAATCCAGCAGAAATATTAATAACAATAATACTGAATATTAAGATAACATATTATAATATAAAATATCAATAAATCTCCAAAAGGCACACCTGGGCAGATAAGTGCAAGTCTACAAACCTCTTGGCAACTTCTTCCAAAACAGGACCCTCTAACACGATTTTTGTTCCTGGGTTATCAATGTCATTTCCAAATTGGTTTTAGTTGCTCCTGACACGACCAAATTGGTTCTATCATAAAAACATGCACAAAGTTTAGTCAATTGCCAAAACTCTGTTTTGAATAACTTGCTATAGTTATTCTATGACTGGGTTGTTGTAGGGTTTTTTGGGCTGTATGGCCATGGTCGTCTAGAGGCATTCTCTCCTGACGTTTCACCTGCATCTATGGCAAGCATCCTCACCTGAGGAACCAACCTGGATGAACCAACCTGGACACAGCATATTATTTGAGAACACAGAAATGCTGGACCACTCTCACAACCACCATGTCAGACTACACAGAGAAGCCATTGAAATACAGAAGCATGTGGACAATTTCAACAGAAAAGAAGAAACCATGAAAATGAACAAAATCTGGCTACCAGTATTAAAAAACTCTAAAACTACAACAGCGCAACAACAGAGAGGAAGCAGGCAGGGACATCTAATTACCTCTCAACAAAAGTTTGTTCCAGGCACAGTCAGCCCATTGTATGCTAATCAAGGTGGTCAGTTGAAACATTCCTGACTGTGAGAGCCGTTCATCCTGACTGTGAGAGCCGTTCAGCAGTGGAACTCTCTGCCCCGGAGTGTGGTGGAGGCGCCTTCTTTGGAAGCTTTTAAACAGAGGCTGGATGGCCATCTGTCAGGGGTGATTTGAATGCAATATTCCTGCTTCTTGGCAGGGGGTTGGACTGGATGGCCCATGAGGTCTCTTCCAACTCTTTGATTCTATGATTCACACCTAGCTCCAGCAGACAAGAGTCCTTTGTCCCACCCTGGTCATTCCACAGATATATAAACCCTTTTTCCTAGTTGCAACAGACCTCACTACCTCTGAGGATGCTTGCCATAGATGCAGGCGAAACGTCAGGAGAGAATGCCTCTAGACCATGGTCATACAGCCCCCCCAAAAAACCTACAACAACCCAGTGATTCCGGCCATGAAAGCCTTCGACAATACATTATTCAATGACTATCTCATAGGGCCTCAACCAATTCAACATATTTGGTGGCAGCCACAAAAACGAAGTTTCTGAAGTAGAACAACTCCCTTCAAAGTCACCCCCACACAATTAAACAGAAAATAACATTTTCAAACTAGTAAAAAGAAAAAAAATCACATTTTGTTACAGAAGAAAAACTTCTATTGCCCAACTCGCAGAGCGACTCTCCTTCAACAGGCTGGACGAAGGGATGTACTGAGACTGCGCATGCGCAAAGAATGAGGGCCGCCCAGACTGAGAAAACGAAAGCAAAGAGCGCAATGCATGCTGGGATGCGTAGTTCCCCTTTCAAGCATTGCAAGGCGGTAGCAATGGGCTGCTTTCCAAAATGGCCGGAGAAGAAGGAAAAGCGGTCATAGGGAGCACTTATTGATAGGGAAAAGCGTCTCGTTGCTGACAAAAAAGGAGAGGCGAAAGAGGCGAGACCTCCATTTTTTTGCTTGAAGGCGTTTTGGAGCCGGCACCGACATAGACACCTATGAAAGCGGCTCGGGGGGGCTTTCCTGGGCCGCGCGTCGCCATGGCTTGAAGGCGTTTTGGAGCCGGCACTGAGTTAGACACCTATAGAAGCGTCTTTCCTGGGCAGCGCGTCGCCATGGCGGGGTCCTTCCCCAGCGTTGCCTGTCTGAAGGAGCATTTGTGCTTCCCGAGGAGACGCATTGTTTTCGCGTGACGGTTCCAGGGTTCCTCTCAATTGATGGGAGCGAGTCATGATGCCTGGGGAGACCCCACCCGCGGCCTCCCTCGGGAAAGAGGCGGCCACGACCTGCGCCAGTTGTGGCGCCCTCCAACAGGTAGGCGTCGAGGAGGGAGGGAGAGAAGAAGGCCCCTTTCTCCCTTAAGGGTTAGCCTTCAGAATGAGCTCGCGCTCTCCGTCTTCATGCGCATGTCACCTTCTGGCATCAACTACACTATAACGGCGCTCCATGCAGTCATGCCGGCCACATGGCCTTGGAGGTGGCTACGGACAACGCCGGCTCTTCGGCTTAGAAATGGCGATGAGCACCACACCTGAGTCGGACACGACTTGACTTAATGTCAAGGGAAAAGATTTACCTTTATTTACACTGTACAATGAATACAGTGAGGCAACACTTAAACTACCAGGGCTCCATGCCATGGGATCCTGGACTTGTACTTTGATATATTTTTCGTGTCATCACCAACCAGACCATTGCATTACATTTCTAGCAAAACAAACAAACAGATTTAAAAAAACACAGATTTTGCAAACTTGGTAGTTGTATTGTCGAAGGCTTTCATGGCCGGAATCACTGGGTTGTTGTAGGTTTTTCCGGGCTATATGGCCATGTTCTGGAGGCAATTTTTCTCCTGGCGTGGTAGTTGATTAAATTAAATGTCCTCCATTGTGCATGTATCAGGGCTCAGGTTGCATTGCAGCAGATGGTCTGTGATTTGCTCTTCTCCGCACTCACATGTCGTGTATTCCACTTTGTAGCCCCATTTCTGAAGGTTGGCTCTGTATCTCGTGCCAGAGCGCAGTCTGTTCAGCACCTTCCAAGTCGCCCAGTCCTCTGTGTGCCCAGGGGGAGCCTCTCATTTGGTATCAGCCATTGGTTGAGGTTCTTGATTTGAGCCTGCCACTTTTGGACTCTCGCTTGCTGAGGTGTTCAAGTGAGTGTCTCTGTAGATCTAAGAAAACTATTTCTTGATTTGAGTCGTTGACGTGCTGGCTAATACCCAAACAAGGGATGAGCTGTCGTGAATTCAACTTTGTGGCAGCATCCCAAGCTCTGAAGATCACTTGGGAAGGAATCCCACTGGAGCAAAGCAGCTTTCGTATGATATTGTTTCTAGCACTCACTTTTTGTTTGATGTTCAGGCAGTGCTTCTTGTAGGTCAGAGCACGGTCCAGAGTGACTCCCAGGTATTTGGGTGTGCTGCAATGCTCCAGTGGGATTCCTTCCCAGGTAATCCTCAGAGCTCGGGATGCTTGTCTGCTCTTAAGGTGAAAGGCACATGTCTGTGTTTTAGATGGATTAGGGATCAGTTGGTTTTCCCTGTAATAGGCAGTAAGAGCACCTAGAGCTTTGGAGAGCTTCTGTTCAACCATCTCAAAGCTCCCTGCTTGAGCGGTAATGGCACGATCATCAGCATAGATGAAACTCTCTGTCCCTTCTGGCAGTGGCTGGTCATTTGTGTAAATGTTGAACATGGATGGAGCAAGCACGCTTCCCTGAGGCAGGCCATTCTTCTGTACTTTGGTGAGGCACCTGCTCTCTTTAGCAGGGAAGGCTGCAGACCTTGTAAAACTACAGCTCCCACCATTCCATAGCATTGAGGCCCCTTCTACATTGCCATAAAAATCCAGATTATTTTAAGATATTTTAGCTTTATTTTAGCTTTATCTCTCCATTCAGGGCCCTTACACACAGCCCTATATCCTAGAATATCAAGGCAGAAAAATTCCACAATATCTGCTTTCAACTAGTTTATCTGAATCCACACTGTCATATATCTCAGTTCAAAGCAAATAATATGGGATTTGATTCAACTGTGTGGAAGGGGGCTTTAAGCGGCTCACTATCAAAAACATTATTATTTTGATTAATATCTTTTAGCTTTGGGTTGTTGCAGGTTTTATCGGGCTATATTTATTTATTTACTTCACTTATATACCGCTTTTCATCCCTTAGGTGACTCAAAGCGGTTATATGGCCATGTTCTAGAGGCATTTTCTCCTGACGTTTCGCCTGCATCTATGGCAAGCATCCTCAGAGGTAGTGAGGTCTGTTGGAACTAGGAAAAAGGGTTTATATATCTGTGGAATGACCAGGGTGGGACAAAGGACTCTTGTCTGTTGGAGCTAGGTGTGAATGTCTCAACTGACCACCTTGATTAGCATTTGATGGCCTGGCAGTACCTAGGGCAGTCTTTTGTTGGGAGGTGATTAGATGTCCTTGTTTGTTTCCTCTCTGTTGTTTTGCTGTTGTAATTTTTGAGTTTTTTAATCCTGGTAGCCAGATTTTGTTCATTTTTATGGTTTTCTCCTTTCTGTTGCAATTGTCTACATGCTTGTGGATTTCAATGGCTTCTCTGTGTAGTCTGACATGGTGATTTTTAGAGTGGTCCAGCATTTCTGTGTCCTGAAACAATATGCTGTGTCCAGGTAGGTTTATCAGGTGCTCTGCTATGGCTGTATATACAATATATTATATTATTAGTATAGCACAGTGTTGTATATTATTATATTGTACTATACCTCTATCATGCAGTATTGGTAATATTACATGTAAAATACAATATAAAATTATATCATTATATATTATTATATTGTACTGTATTAGTATACCACAATATATATAATACATTACCAGTATATTTTACTATTAGTATTATATAGTATATTGTACTATATCAAAAGTTGGTAGCCCCCAGTGGTGCAGCAGGTTAAGCCGCTGAGTTGCTAAACTTGCTGACCAAAAGGTCGGTTGTTCATATCCGGGAAACAGGGTGAGCTCCCGCTGTTAGCCACAGCTTCTACCAACCTAGCAGTTCGAAAACTTGCAAATGTGAGTAGATCAATAGGTACCACTTCTGTGGAAAGGTAATGGTAATCCATCCAGTCATACCTGACACATGAGGCCTCTACGGACAACGCTGGCTCTTCAGCTTAGAAATGGAGATGAGCACTGCTCCCTTGAATTGGATAAGACTGGACTTAATGTCAAGGGGAAACCTTTACTTATATCAAAAGTTGTAGCATATATACTATATTATATTACAACTATAATATACAGGGTTAGTCAAAATGAATAGGCCAATAAGAAAATTAATTTTAGACGAATGTATGTTTATTGTAACCAAAACTACAGCTACGTAGCGACAGATAAACTATCAAAGTTTTGTCTCACCTTCAGAGATGTTCGATATGGGCGCCCCGTGTGACACGGCAGATGTCCAAGCGATAGTCCAGTTCATTCCACATCCGTTGCAGCACATCCGACGTAATTTATTTATTTATTTATTTATTTGGTACGCTTGTATCTCAGCCTTTTTTTTGTGTTTTTCTATTCGAGCCCCAGCACATCCGACTTAATGTCATCGAATGCAGCAACGTCTGGGAAGGTGTTCGTTGAGGTCCTATCCCTAACCCTAACCCTTGAAATTCTCGCTGGACCGTAATTACTGACATTGTTTTAGCAAATGTCATCACACAAAACGCCTTCTCTTTGCTTGATTCCGCCATTTTGAAAACAGCGACCCCTAGCGACGCCTAGCGGCATTAACGTACATGTGTGTTGCTCAAAAAAAACTTTGATAGTTTATCTGTCGCTACGTAGCTGTGGTTTGGTTACAGTAAACATACATTCGTCTAAAATTAATTTTCTTATTTGCCTATTCATTTTGACTAACCCTGTATAATATAGTATTATTGCATTACAATGTTATTATTTCTATATATTATATTGTACATATTGAGAGGCTCCCACATGATGTTGCAGGAGACACGATGGAGCTGTGTCTTACTGGTTGCCAACGCTTCACTCTTAATAATCCATAATATTATAATCCACATTATTATTTGCTTTGAATGGGATTGTATAGTGTAGACTCAGATAATCCAGTTCAAAGCAAATAACAATGTGGATTATCTGCTTCGATACAGCTATAAGATCTTAATGTACAGGTTTATCTTTAAGGATAAATATATGATGGCACTTATTTATATCCTACCTTAACAATTATCCTATAGTGTTTCTTTCTTGGGCTGTCGTGCAGATTGTTTGCTGATATATTTTTAATCCCAGACAAAAACATGTCCTTTTCTTGTCTCTTGAAATGTATCCTTTTTTTAACAGAAGGCTTTGTTGCTGTTTCCAGCAAATGTTTGCATGACTTTTTGGGAAACAGTTAGCTTAAATAGTTGTTTTCTTTTTTTCTGACCATCATATAATGTTCTCTACACATTATCTGAAGGTGTGCGTTTTATGGGCAGAATGTATCGGTCCAGGAGGTTTAAATAATGGAGAGCATTTAGGTTTTGGTGACAGTGTTGACTACCATTACTGAGCTTCGTGAACATGGCTGTCACTGGGGTTGAAGAGACCTGTGAGACACTGAGTAAAGCTGTTGTGTGTAGTTGTCCTCATGATATGGGGTGCATCTAGACTGTGCAATTCATGCAGTTCGATACTGCCTTAACTGGTACGGTTCAAAGCAATGAAATCCTGGGAATTGTAGTTTGGAGGGGCAACAGCACTCTTTGACAGATAAGCTAAAGACATGTAAAAATACAACTCTCATGATTCCATTGCATTGAGCCATGGTAGTTAAACTAGTGTCAAACTGCATTAATTCTATAGTGCAGGTATGTTAATGGTTCCATGAGAAGTCATGGACTCCAGTTTACCTTTGCTGTGCCCACTCTTTCTTCATTTATTGGTTTTATTAAATAGTTGTCACAACTCTCAAGCAATTTATTTATTTATTTATTTATTTATTTTATTTGTTGTGTCAGGACAACCAGTCAAATTATATTACATTTCTAACAAAACAAAGCAAACAAACAGACAAAATACAAAATTTGTGAGTTTGGTAGTTGATTAAATGTCCTTTGACCAGTATCTGGCCACTTGGAGTGCTCTGGTGTTGCTGCAAGAAGGTCCTCCATTGTGCATGTGGCAGGGCTCAGGTTGCATTGTAGTAGGTGGTCTGTGGTTTGCTCTTCTCCACACTCACATGTCGTGGATTCCACTTTGTAGCCCCATTTCTTAAGGTTGGCTCTGCATCTCGTGGTGCCAGAGCACAGTCTGTTCAGCGCCTTCCAAGTCGCCCAGTCCTCTGTGTGCCCAGGGAGGAGTCTCTCATTTGGTATCAGCCATTGGTTGAGGTTCTTAAGCAATAGTAACTTCTTTGTCACCAGGAATTGTCTTACTTTTTCTGATCTATCAAAGGCTTCTCTTCTTATGGACTTGATGTAAGTGCTTCAGTCCTCCACAGAAAATGCAGTTGATAGTCCTCTGGCAGTTATTGCTTTAATAATCCTAAGATAGAACAAATTGCTACCTCTCAACAAGTTATACCAGTTGGAATCCCCTCACCTACACAACTATTCACTGTGTAGGATCTCTCACCTCCTTTAAATCTGGGCACTTTATTTTTTTTAATTGATGTCTTAGGTTTAAACAGTAGATGAAAGGCATTCTAAACTGTGTATTGTGGGAAGTGTTTCATAGCTATGTGCATTAAAATATTCTTTGGATAACACAGTGTCATTTACACAATCTCAGTCAAATTATCCCCATCCAGATTTTGTGGGATTACAATCCCCAAAGATCTAATTCATTGCCTATGGTGTTTAGGACCAACAGCACTCTCTGAAAAGTATTTTGTTTCAAGTAACTGGATGATGTGAAAGTTTTGTCTCTGGCATCTCATGAACATACGTGTTTGGGTTGGTTAGTTGTTTTACTGTCCAAAAATCAATGAATAACAATCTGAAAGACTAGTGTAGAGTTATCCACCTACATGTTATATTTCATCAATTCTAAGACACACTTTAATCTTACATAAATATTACTAAAAGTGGGGTGCATCTTAGCATCACAGGTCTATCTTATGTATTTTTGGTAGTGGTGGTAGTGAAATTGGGGTGCATCTTACAATTGGTGGCATCTTACAATTGAATAAATACAATAAAAACCTATAAAACCCTATACAGCTCCGGCCCAGCTTACTTATCTGAACATATCTCTCTGTACATTCCACCTTGTAATTTAAGATCTACTGGGGAGGTGCTGCTCTCAGTCCCACCAGCGTCTCAAACACGTCTGGTGGGGACGAGGGACAGGGCCTTCTCGGTGGTGACCCCCTGCTTATGGAATTCACTCCCCAGCGAGATTAGATCGGCGTCCTCCCTCCTTACTTTTATCGTCTGGAGGGGCCCTGCTCTCGGTCCCACCAGCCCCACAAGCGTGTCTCGGTGGTGGCCCCTCGCCTCTGGAACTCTCTCCCACTGGAGATCAGAACTGCCCTTTCTATCTTGACGTTCAGAAAACAGGTGAAAACTTGGCTCTGGAAACTGGCATTCGACGACTGAGTCAATATCCTGCGATATGGATGGATGATGACGAACAACGATTTTATTGTGACGACTGACCATTGTAATTATATGACTGTATTTTGCTATTTTAAGGTTTTAGTCTAATATGGAATATGATGTTTTTAATGATTGTTTGTAATATTGTTGTTGGAAACCGTCCTGAGTCCCTCGATGGAGGTGAGAAGACCGGTATACAAAACTGCTAAATAAATAAATAAATAAAATACTTTTAGGAAAAAACTAAAGATGTGGTTTTGGAGCCAGGCCTTTGGCTAGTGGGCACAGCAGCACTTTAGGCACTGAACTCGGACAGTAGGATTGTTTGAAAATTGGAAATGGCTTTATGACTTGTGGTTATGTGATTTGTTCTAGGTGACTATGTAATTTTAATTAATATAACTGTTAGTTATGTAATGGATTTTATATTGTTGTTTTTATATTGTTGTTTTGATACTGTTGGCATTGAATTGTTGCCTGTGTTAGCCGCCTGAGTCCCCCCTTGGGGGTGTGAAGGGCGGGGTAGAAATGGTCTAAATAAATAAATAAATTTAATGTAATTAAAAATAACAAAGGAAGTCATCCTCAAAGTACTTGAATAAATTTTACTGTTGGGATGCAGATGTTTGCAACTAATGTTTACAGATTTAACAAAGTTAGTACTCTAACAAAGAGAGGATATGTGTTGGTTATGCAACCCATTTTAGTCAACTATTACAAAACTGCTCTAATGACAGCTCTAATGGATGATGTTGGCTTTTTGAAGTAAATTATAAATGTTCTTTAAAGTGGGTAATGAGACCTGGGTGCTTTTAAAAAAAGATTTGAATAAACATTGTGCCTGTTGTTCCCTCCCAAAATACCTTCTTTTTTAAAAAGCAAAATAAAACACAGTATAAAAAACTATTACAAAACTGCTTACATTAAACTTTTTGCTTCATTTCTCTGCTTAGGATATGTTTAAATCTACACCTCCTGAATTTATGTGATTTTATAGCTGGAGTATAGAGAACTTGGAACTATGGGTTATTGTGTTTGGATCTAGCTATTGCCTGGGCTAGCTTGTTCTGAGTCGCATGGTCTGACTATACACTGATAATGTGCAACCCATAGTTACACTCTGTACAATTGGAATCAACATCTTCTCCAGCCTAAATTATTTGCAGGCTCTTCTAAATATTATTCATTTTTGAGTTTCGTCTTTTGATTTTTGGTGTAATCTCTTTCTACCTGTTTCACCTTGTCTGTATTTCTTTTCATTTTTATTTCTTTTGCTGACTATATCAGATTAAATGTTATTCAGACATGCCCTTTGTTCAACATGTATTCAGACGGAGAGGGCCAAGTATTGAACTTCCTTCCTTTAACACAACCTTCTTTTTTTTTTGCAGAATTTAAATGAATATGTAGCTGCCTTAATTGCTTTAAAGCAAAAGATAATAGATACAGAGTAAGTACATTTTCATTCCTTTTCTTGCACTAATAGATTTATTGTTACATGTAATTTATTTATTTATCGTGTCAGGAGCAACCAGACATTTGTATTACATTTTTAACAAAGCAAACAAGCAAACAGACAAAACACAAAGTTTGCAAGCTTGGTAGTTGATTAAATGTCCTTTGACCAGTAGCTGGCCACTTGGAGTGCCTCTGGTGTTGCTGCAAGGAGGTTCTCCATTGTGCATGTAGCAGGGCTCAGGTTGCATTGCATTAGGTGGTCAGTGGTTTGCTCTTCTCCACACTCACATGTCATGGATTCCACTTTGTAGCTCCATTTCTTAAGATTGGCTCTGCATCTCGTGGTGCCAGAGCGCAGTTTGTTCAGCGCCTTCCAAGTTGCCCAGTTTTCTGTGTGCCCAGGGGGGAGTCTCATTTGGTATCAGCCATTGATTGAGGTTCTGGGTTTGAGCCTGCCACTTTTGGACTCTCGCTTGCTGAGGTGTTCCAGCAAGTGTCTCTGTAGATCTTTGAAAACTATTTCTTGATTTAAGTCGTTGACGTGCTGGCTGATACCCAAACAAGGGATGAGCTGGAGATGTCACTGCCTTGGTTCTTTAACTATTGGCTGTTACTTCCCGGCGGATGTCAGGTGCAATACAGTGCAATACCAGCTAGACAGTGTAGTTTCTCCAGTGGTGTAGGGTGCAGACACTCCGTGATAATGTGGCTTGTCTCATTAAGAGCCACATCCACTGTTTTAGTGTGGTGAGATGTGTTCCACACTGGGCCTGCATACTCAACAGCAAAGTAGCATAGCGCAAGGGCAGATGTCTTCACTGTGTCTGGTTGTGATCCCTAGGTTGTGCCAGTCTGCTTTCGTATGATATTGTTTCTAGCATCCACTTTTTGCTTGATGTTCAGGCAGTGCTTCTTGTAGGTCAGAGCATGGTCCAGAGTGACTCCCATGTATTTGGGTGTGCTGCAATGCTCCAGTGGGATTCCTTCCCAGGTGATCCTCAGAGCTCGGGATGCTTGTCTGTTCTTAAGGTGAAAAGCACATGTCTGTGTTTTAGATGGATTAGGGATCAGCTGGTTTTCCCTGTAATAGGCAGTAAGAGCACCTAGAGCTTTGGATAGCTTCTGTTCGACCATCTCAAAGCTCCCTGCTTGAGGATCGTGTAATAGCACAATCATCTGTCCCTTCTGGCAGTGGCTGGTCATTTGTGTAAATGTTGAACATTATTGGAGCAAGCACGCTCCCCTGAGGCAGTCCATTCTTCTGTTTCCGCCATCTGCTTCTCTGGCCTGGAACTCAACAAAGAAGCTCCTGTTTTGTAGCAGGTTTCCTATGAGGCGGGTGAGATGATAGTCCTTTGAGATATTATACATTTTTCTCATGTAATAATAATAATAGCAATAGTAATAGTAATTTTATTTCTTACCCACTTCTCCTCATGGGCCAAGTACATGTATTCAGAGCCTTATGGACACTTTAGCTACTTCAAAGTCTTTCAGGCTTGGTGGGATTTAAAGCATCTACTGCACACATAGCGAGCCTGGTGCAGTCTAGCCCTGCAAGCAACCCTTTCAGTATAGAACTACATCTTTTTTTGGCCACTCAGTAGAACTCTGCAAGTGGGGAAAAACAAAGAATGCCCAAATATTAAGAAAGAAGAGTACAATAATAGCAATATATCCCTTTTTGTGGCATAGCTGTGTATGAAATGAAGAGTGGGAATTTCTAGATTAGTTAGTTTATGCAAAATACCTGATTTTGGAGAAGGTCAGCCTGAGAGTGGCTTAAGTTTTGGGCTAGGACTCTGTAGACCAGGGTTCGAATCTCCATTTGTCCAGCCAGTCTTGGTAGCCGATCTTAAAAACATATCAACTATATTCAGCATGAATGAGGCAAAACAGAAGTCAATGCATTCAACTTCAGATGTAGCTTTCATTTTCCAGAGCCTAAATTCTTTCATGTATGTCTGAACCAGCACCTAATCCTTTTTGTTCTCACTCTCTTACAGCCACTTGCTGACCGAATACCAACAAAAGTGCAATGATATCCTTTTCCAAATATTTTTTCAGGAAAGTAATTGATCAGTATACTGTTATTAAGAATCTAAAGATGACTTTTGAAGTGCGAGAATTTTATAATATGTAATAGATATTTCTCTGTACCACGCACACAATACAGTTTGTTGGTGAAAAGGTAACAACTTTGTGACTTCTGAAATCATGATGCTGTAATCTGCCAAGGCTTAAGTTACCCAGAGTTGCATCAGATAGTGACACATAGAGAGGGAACAGTAGCCAAGGGAACTTCAGCAAAAAGCAAGCACTCTGTTTCCATGGCAATGGAAATTACTTTTGTGTCCAGTACTAAAGGTTCATTGTTGCAGAGGAGCTTCTGTAAATGAGGATGTTGAAGCACCATTATCCCATTTTCCGTCTCCCTACTAAAACGTCAATAGTTGATGCTTCGTGCAATTATATAGAACATGTACTGTTGGGGGAAAAATACATGCTTACTAGGAGGTCAGGCTCTTATATATATATATATATATATATATATATATATATATATATATATATATCACATACTAGCCGTCCCCTGTCATGCCTGTGTTTATGTGTATATATGTGGTTTTGCACATGTGGTGTAATGGGGGTTTTTTTTGTTTTTCTTTTTGCTTTTTAAGTCTCTTCTGCTGTGTTTTTCAGAGTTTTTATGAGTGATGCTCAATTTATTGTCGAAGGCTTTCATGGCTGGAATCACTAGGTTCTTGTGGGTTTTTTCGGGCTATATGGCCATGTTCTAGAGGCATTTTCTCCTGACGTTTCGCCTGCATCTATGGCAAGCATCCTCAGAGGTAGTGAGGTCATATGATGGTCAATTGTTTGCCTGATAGGTGTATTGTGTCCAAATTTGGTGTCAATTCATCCAGTGGCTTTTGAGTCATTTATGTTAATCCCACAAACGAACATTACATTTTTGTTTATATAGATATGTTCATTTTGAATGACACTGTATTGTGCAATTGGTTTGTAGCCCCATTTCTACCCTTTGTTTCATGGAAACTAGTAGCTCTAAAATATGAAGTAATTGACAGATTTTTTAAAAAAAAAATCAGGATGGGAGAGGAGAGGCAGAGAGGTTATTTAGCACCGGGATTGTGGCGCAGCTGGCTGAGTGTCAGCTGCATTAAGATCACTCTGACCAAAAGATTATGAGTTCGAAGCCAGCCCGGGTTTGAGTGGGTTTCCAACCAATTGTGTAGCCTGTTGTCGACCTTTGCAACCCGAAAGACAGTTGCATCTGTCAAGTAGGAAAATTAGGTACCACCTTAAAGTGTGGGGAAGTTAAATTAACTAATTTATGAGGCCATAAAAAAAGACTCCAGCAAGCACTCCAGCAAAAAGCAGAATGCAGAAGTACTTCATCAGTGTCGCAGATGGACGATGAAAGCGACAGCTCCCCTGGCGGCCAGAAAAAGTTAAATAGCCTCTGTGTATCAACGGAAAAATTTGTTTCTAAAATCGATTCGTTTTTTGGGGGGTTTTGCGTTTCGATATTTAAAAGAATTCCGAAATTTTCTTTTAAAAAGTTCGATATTTACGAAATTTCGTAAATGTTAAAAAAATTACGAAACATTAACGAAACAAATACGAAACAATAACGAATCGATTCGTTAATGGCGGACGCGACAGCGCAATACGCTAAAAAACCTCCAAATGGGACAGGGGGAACTTCTGAAGCTTCCCTCTCCCTCTGTTGTTGACTGTTGGTGTGATATTATATTTTTTTTCACTAATTAAACAAAAAACAACTATAAAACTTGCCCCAGACATGCGGAAATAATAACGAAACGACCTCAAACCGATAACGAAACGAATACATAACGAATCCGAAGCATTTACGAAACGAATTTAAAAATTCGTTTCGTTTTTAAGTTGCTCCAGAATGGTTCGTTATCGCTTCGTTATAAAAAAAAATAACGAATTTTTAACGAATTAATGAAACGAAACCGCCCAGCCCTAATAAATATAGCCTCTGTCTATGTCTGTATATGTTGTATGTCAAAAATTGGCATTTAATGTTTGCCATATATGTGTACACTGTAATCCGCCCTGAGTCCCCTGCGGGGTGAGAAGGGCGGAATATAAAAGCTATAAATAAATAAATAAATATTTAAATATATTCGATTTGTTTCATCAGTTTTCTGATTGTGCTTATAAGGCACACAATAAATGTGAGTAAAAAATGTCTTCACCTGCTGGTGAAAGGTTATCAAAGAAAAGACCAGATAGGCCTTCCTTTGCGAGCAATCATTGAATTGCTATTAAATATTGTTATTGATATGAGAAAAGCACTTCATACTTGTACCCAAAAGACACTGTACTGATTTAAGAGAGTGAGTTAGTAAGACCCTAGTTCAGACCTAGCCTCTCTTTTAAGCTATATAGAAGGCCTCATATTACGAAGTTGTTGTAATGTTCATTCAGATGTATTTCAGGGCTTTTTAATATGGTAAAGTATATACGAGGGGTATTTTTAAAGTAAGATCCGTTGGAACATAAGTACACAACGAAAGTTTATTTCAAAAAAGTAAATTTATTTTCAGAAAGTACATACGTTCACTCTATTTTTCGACATAGTCGCCGGGTTTGTTCAAACACTTATCATACCTCTGAACCAATTTTAAAATACCCTCTTCACGAGTCCTCGCTTCAACTGAAGCCACCAAATCGTCTGTAATCAAAGAAGAGCGACTGGAGCGGTCCTCATCATGGATGTTGTCATGGCCATCTTTGAATTGTCATACCCACTTACGCATTTGGCTTTCACTCATAACAGTATCACCGTACACTTCACAAATCTGTCGATGAATTTCGGCAGCAGGCAGGTTCCTTGCTGACAAAAACCGTATCACTGAGCAAACCTCACATGCGGAGGGTGAGTTGATAGTCTTAAACATTTTTAAAGCACAGAACAGAACCGTACAGGTTAGCTACAGAGCGGAAACTGAGCACAGTTGTTCCCGAGGCATGCCGGTACACGACGCACGCTCGTTGCGGTATGCGCGCGAACTACTAGTGTCTACAACAAAACGGACCTTACTTAAAAAATACCCCTCGTACATTCAAAACAATAATATGCTTGTATTGAGATGCAAAGTAACTGCTTCGTGCGTCAGCTGTGTGGATACATATTTAAATCATATTCCCCTTTAACATATGTGCAAACAGCAGTGCAAGAAACAACTTGATCAATTAACAGTAGTAAAAGGAAATATAACAATTCATGTGTGTGTTCAAGCTGATTGAGATCTAGAACAATCTCTTGGATTAAATCTGGGTTGTTATGGAAACACTGATTGGTGATAAAGCTTCACTGTGTACACCTTCTTCCCATGATAATAATTCTTCCAGGAGTGAATTTCTCTTGCAAGGTGTAAATTTCTCTCAATTCCTGTTGTCTCACCCCGTCCTTAACCAGGAGTCATTTGTAAGTTGGATGTTTGTATCTCTGGGACTGCCTGTATGCACAAATGATACTTGACTTCAATTATCTAATGATAAAAAAACTGTTTTTGCTGAAATGTTGGAAGCTTTTCAAGGATTTAGGTTCATATAACCTCTTACGGCAAGATTGTCCCAAAATACAATGTTTTGGGACTGTAATTAGCAATCAGACTTCACATATCACAGAACAAGCAATCTGTCTTTGTTACTTTTCATTTGCATAAATAACAATAGTTGCTCAAAACACAGGACACTGTTTGCTTGCTTCCTTGCAGCAGCTCAAGCAGAAATAACCAAATATTGGAAATCAGGGCATCTTAACCCAGATAATTGCTGGGAAAGAGTCTGGGTCATTTAGCTATTAGAAAAAAACTTATAATTTAAAGACCTCTGATGCATACCAAAAGAACACATTTTATAGATCATTTTTATTGGCTATGTCAATAAAATCCTGCAGCTCCAAAAAAAAAAAATACTTTGCATCTTGATTCTCCCTTCCAACCTGATGAGCATCCAAATCACATGAATAAAGCATAAACTAATTTATTTTCTATTCCATTTTTAGCTAATGCAAATGGAAAGAAGCAATCTGCTGTTTATCTATGTCTTGTCTCTACATTTGCTCATCGTTTTAATGGCATCTGTTCTTATTTCTTGATAGGAATCCTTTAATATTTTTAAAGTCACACATCATGGTAAAGGGAAATTTTTCTACTTGTTGTGCAATATGGCAGTTCAATGTTTTCATGTTAATTTTTCCCTCAATGTGGATTTGCTCTTCTTGCAAATGACCTTTCCAGTATAAAGATTGCTTTGATACTGATATAAAATGAGTTGCATTTTTCTTACTTAATATGTTTGGTAAAGCACAGCAATAATACTTTCAAATCAAGTTTTCATTAACCACACCTCACAGCTTGATGCTGCTAAAAGGTAAGAACTCATTATATTATTGTAATTGTTCCCTGCTCAGGGTCTAGATGTCACCAGTTACCAAAACACTATTTCTGCTAGTTAATAATGAATATCTTTAATAATTAATGACAATTAACTATTGCCTCTAGCATGCTTAGATCCTTCCCAAGATAAAGGAGCCAGTTTAGAAATTAAGAGTAGCCTTTAAGGAAATGTTTGAGTATAGGATGCTCTGTTGTCCTTATTCTGATTTGTGTATGTGTGTATTTTGATATATTGATAATTCCCTTAGTTGAGGCCAATTCTTGTGTTTAAGCATATGTTTTTGCTCAATTTCTATAATCTTAGTCTGTGATGTCCATTTCAGAGAAAACAGTACTCTTCATCACCAAGTAGAACAAATGTTCCAGAAAATATCACCTCTAGAGAAGTGTGAAGAAGAGTTGGGCTCTGTAAAAGCGGAATTGGAGGAGAAAAAGGTAACTTCCTTTTGTAAACATAATTATTTCTTGAGACCGTCAATTGTCTGAATTGCATAGTCCTATCCTCTCCTCTCACTCACCTGTCTTTCCAAAAGAACCCATCACCCTATTGATCTCCTCACCTCATGCTGTTTCCTTACAATCCTCTTCTGCCAATCTATTGTCATATCGACAGCACCATCCAGATTTTAACCCTCTTTCAAGTCCACCAATGTTCTTACCCCTTCTTTTGCCTTCCAGTTCTCTCCTTTCACTCTCCTGTCCTTTTAGATGGATTTGTAATTGGTTGAGTGATTGAACCCAAAATGTGCTCATCAGTGGTTCATCCTAGAAAGTAAGTAGTGGGGCCGCAGGGTTCTGGGCCCAGTATTGTTCAGTATCTTTATTAAAGGCTTGGATGAAGACTTAGCAAGTTTGCAGACGACAGAGGTCCTCCTGGTCAGTTGTAAGACCAAACAGGGCATAGGGTTACAGCCTGTGCTGGATGGGGTTACACTCCCCCTGAAGACACAGGTTCTCAACTTGGGAGTGATCCTAAACTTATTGTGCTCCAGTTGCGCTCGTACATTGGGAAGTCTGACTTGGCCATGGTGCTCCACTCTCTTGTTACATCCCGAATTGATTACTGCAACACACTGTATTTTATTTTATTTATTTATATACGACATTTATTATATTGTACTATAACATACTGTAATATTATTAGTAATATTACATTTAATATGAAATATATAATTATAATATATTAGTAGTAGTAATAGTAGTAGTATATTGTATTACATTATAATATTATAAATATTATATGTATATACAATATATTATATAATATTGTATTATATGATATTATATAATATAAGCACAGTGGACTGCATCAAAAGAAGTATAGTGTCTAAATTAAGGAAAGTCATGGTGTCTCTCTATTCAACTTTGGTCAGACTTCATTTGGAATACTGTGTCCAATTCTGGGCACCACAGTTTAAGAGAGATATTGACAAGCTAGATTATTTCTAGATGAGGGCATATGATCAAAGGTCTCCTTTAAAAAGAGCTAGTCAGATTTTAAACTCAATTCCAGCCTCTAAATCCCTTCAGCTCATGGTTCTTCCTCCCAGACCTCTATTCTCAATCTGCCATTCTTCTTTAAACTGGTTGCCGTTCTCCAACACATCGGAGAGAGAATATTCTGCAATGTTCTTGCTATCTGAGGAGGTTGTGAGCAAGACTTTGGACTTTTATATGCTTTCAACAAGCAAATCACCTCTTTTGTAGCTTCAGATGAAGAATATAATTTGTAGCTAGAGGTTATAATGAAAAAGAGTGAAAAACTTGATGGGTCTTTACAGACTTTGAGTGCAGTAAAAGGTGTAAGGAGAAGTATCCTTGAAAACCTTTTGTAGCAGATGTACACTTTGTCTCAGACTAATTTTAAAAGTGCTTGCTTCACCTTGCTTTTTGTTATCTTGTATCTCCTCTTGCTCTTTCACTATAGAGCAAACGCCCTCCAGTATCTCAATAGGATTAAAAGAAAACATGTTTTGAAATAAGTGGAGGTAGTTATAGGAGAACTTAGTACTTCTGTGAGATAAATAATGTGTTGATAGAGTTGAAAACAATAGTTAAAAAACAAACAACATTTCTCATCAGTAACCTGTGGTATATGGGAAAATGGAACATAATTTTAAAAGATTTATTTTATATGCTTTAAAGACTTATCTTTAGTTTGCAGTTATTCCTGAACCGTAAAAATGAGGGTTTGTGCTCGTAGGGTCACAGCACAGTAGGAAGAAAGATACATATGCACACAACCTGTCTCTGAGCCAAATTTGTGTAAGATCCTTAGCAGAATTTTATTCATTAATTTATTTGTTTGTTTATTTCGGACATTTATATCCTGTCCTATCTGGACCTCCGCAGAGGAACTCAGGGCAGCTAACAAACCGGCACCCCATGGTGCCCACAATTTAACACTGTTACTTCGCTGACCATCACCACTTCACTAGAAATACACCTTCAAAAACTTCTTCAAAGGGCTTGGAAAATCCCCTGGAGGAAGATTTTGAGTGGCATGGAACACTATAGGTGTAGAGGAATACATTTCTGTCATGGTAGTGGCTGTCTGCTTGCCTAACACTGGATTTTGGCCTCAGAGGTAAATACTGAATGTCTTAATATTAGCTTTCATTTCTCACATAATCTGGTAATAGCACCGTATTAATATGGTTTACATTACTGATTAAGATGTCCATCAAGAAGCCATGGTGTTTCCCAGACAGACAGGGTTTGATGCAACATCTCAATGTGAGTTAGTTGAATTTAACTGTACGAATATTATAAAATTGATTAGTATAGATCAGCAAAATAGACTTTGAGTGAACTATGTTACAGACAGTAAGGTAGATTTAGGGTAACCACACTCACTCAAGGAGTTGAGGGTTTGGGTAATTATAATAAGTGAGTGGCTTGCTCCTCTTTGTAACTCAGAGAATGGAAGATAGATACTTACCATGAAGGTTGATGTTTGGATGTCAAGAGGATCAATCCACCAGTCCCAAATGTGGCTGCAAAATAATAACAATAATACAGGATGAGGAGGATAGGCAAGACTTCTTAATGAAACTGTGACTGGAGGGCGTAAAACAGTGGTTCTCAACCTGTGGGGTCCCCAAGTGTTTTGGCCTACAACTCCCAGAAATCACAGCCAGTTTTCCAGATGTTAGGATTTCTGGGAGTCGAAGACCAAAACATCTGGGAGCCCACAGGTTGAGAACCACTGGTGTAGAGGCACTGGTCAAAACAAAAAAAGGACTTTCAACTCTAGCATTGATGGTTGTCATGCAAGGAATAATCCATGGGCAAACAGACTGCTTTTCCTGCTATCCAAGAGTGAGCCTTCATAGTAAGTAGCAATCTTTCATTTTATAATATTTTTTTGAATTGTGAAGAAAGAGTAGGGTGTGATGATGATTCAAATAAAAATGATATTTACAGGTCAAATAAGTTGCTATTTATTTTGCTGGTTCTTATTGCTATTCTTTTATTTATCAAGAGTTCACTCAAGATTTACCAGGAGACTCATCTAGAATATGTTCGGCTGAAAGAAGAAATTGACAAAAGTGACATCACGTGAGTCCTTCCAGTGAAAAGAAGTTGTCTAGTAAATTTTATCATTTTTGAATTATTATTTTCGATGCTAATAAACTAGGGTGGCAACAAACTATACATTATTTATATTAAGCCAAATAAATAAATTGTCCTACTTAACTCATAAAAAATCCAAAAAGGATTATTTGATCACTTTAGGTAATGTGTCCTCACATTTTAAAAAAGCATCCAGTAGAAGTGTAATATTTCAGAACATTTTGAAACTTTGGTGGGAGGAAATTTAAAAACTTGATATATGAGTATTATGTTTTTCATTTCAAGCCTACAGTTAGTTTAAAACATATGCTTTGGAAACATACACACCTACATTCATAATTTAATTCATGTATAAAGTTGTTTGGTATTCATATAAAATTAAAAAATGTAAAGACTTTAGTTTTATACCAGCAAGGTTTTGAGTTTACAGACAAACTATAAAGAGAGAATTGTAGACCACTGACTTGGTGCGACCTAAAATCATATATCATACGCTGTGCAATCTGCAAAGCAGATTCATGTTCTTGTTTGCAACTGTTGGGTGAAGTATACGAAACCACATTCCATAAAGTAGATAAGAAATGGGCAGGAAAGACAGAATTAGGGGGCATTACTAGTTGTTTGGATGGAAATTACTTCGTTTGGTTGCTGAATGAAAAGTAGCAAGAAGGGTACATTTATTATTGCCTGAATAATACCAATTTTTCTGGACAAAATTATTTTGATTTCTATATGAAATGCATGAAGGGTGTTAAAATCAGTTGTCTAAATAATAATAATAATAATATGTTCATTTTTGCAACATCTGATCTTTTGCTTTGTAATGGTTATATACTGGAGCTTGGCAGTCAGTGTCAGTCCCTTTAGTGGCCATTTTACCAACTCGAGCTTGCATGATATTTTGACAGTCATTAAAAGTAATCCCACCACTATTGTTAGTTCTGTCTAAATCAGGGGTCCCCAAACTACGGCCCGCGGGCCGTATGCGGCCCGCCAAGGGCATCTATCCGGCCCGCACGGCCTGTCCTGGCCTCGCACAATGCCCCTCGCCGCCACCAATGGCGTCCGCTCTGCTGCGCTTCTCCCTCCACAGCTGCGTTTCTCAACCTAGGGGTCGCGGGGCAATTTTCGAGGGGTCACAGCATGGCCTCCTTAGGCCCCGCCCCCTCCACCTCCCTGGAATGGCTGCCGGGGCCCCTCTGCCAGTTTGGATCTGAACCGAACTACCAAACTGAGCACAAAAAGCAGCACGGGGGGGGGGGGGAAAGAGGTCCACCGCTGCACTCCCCCTGCCTTCCCTGCAGGCTGTGGGGCAGGCCGAGCTTCTGGCGCGAAAACTCAGTGCGGGGTGGGGGGAGTGAAGGGCCCGCTGCTCCTCCCCACAGGCCGCGGGAACTGGAGCCATGTGCAGCAATGGAGGGTCTCCCCAGGAGGAGGAGGAGGGAGAGAATGAAGGTGTTGACGCTCAGTGTTTCCCAGATGGGTATGTTTTTTTTGGGGGGGGGGGTGCAGGGTTTGGGCAAAGTTTTCTTTGGAACATTGTCCTCACTTCCTTACCAATCCCCCCCTTTCCGAGGACAAATGCCCTTTTTTGTTTTCTCCCAGGGCGCAGGACTTACTTCCTCCCTCCCTCCCTGGCTGCCTGCCTTCCTTTTTTCCCTTCCCTCATTCAATTCCTTCCCTTTCTTCTTCCCCTCTCCTTTCTCCTTCATTCCTTTTTCTTCCTTGCTTCCTCCTTTCTTCCATCTTTTCACCATTCCCTCCCCAATCCAAACTGCCTAAACACGTCCCATTTCCCAGGTTTACAGCCCCGGTGTTTGCAGCCAGCCAGCCGTCCGTGCGTTGGAGGAAGGGAGAAAAGGGAGGGAAGAAGGAAGGCTGCTGCTGCTGCCTTTGGCTGACCCTCAGTGCTGCTGGGGAGCTGGACCCAGTGGCATTAGTGGACTCAAGCAGCACCCGGCCTGCACGGAGGATGCACTGGCTGCAGGGGATGCCAGCTGCTTCGCTGCCTCTTTTTCCTCTTCCTCCGTGTTGTGTTTTTGTTTTGGGAGGGAGAGATGGAGGCAAGAGGAGGGGGTGCCTCTCCGGGTGACCTTAGCTCAGGCATGGGCAAACTTGGGCCCTCCAGGTGTTTTGAACTTCAACTCCCACAATTCCTGACAGCTGGTAGGCAGTTAGGAATTGTGGGAATTGAAGTCCAAAATACCTGGAGGGCCCAAGTTTGCCCATGCCTGCATTTGCCACAAATATGCAGTGAGAACCTCTTTGATTGTACGTGAACTATAAATCTAATCAACTCCAACTCCCTAATGTCACAGTCCGTTTTCCCCAAACTCCACCAGTGTTCAAATTTGGGCATATTGCATATTCGTGCCAAGTTTGTCCAGATCCATAGCTGTTTGGGTTCACAGTACTCTCCAGATGTAGGCAAACTACATCTCCCCTAAATCACTGTCAATTCTTCCCAAACCACTCCAGTATATTCTGTTTGTCATGGCAGTTCTGTGTGCCAAGTTTAGTCCAGTTCTGTAATTCCTGGGGGTCTCAGTAGTCTGTGGAAGTCAGAGCAGAATTGATTGAAGGTACTGCAAATCCCATCATTCATTGCCCATACTCCCCCAAACATATTGTTTTTGTGATTCATCACTATGCTTTAATTATATTCAAGACTGTAACAATAAAAATACATCCTGCATATCAGATATTTACATTACGATTCATAACAGTAGCAAAATGTGCAGTGTGCATAGGAATTTGGTCATAGTTTTTTTTAGAAAAAACTATAGTCCGGCCCTCCAACGGTCTGGGGGACAGTAATCTGGCCCCCCGTTTAAAAAGTTTGAGGACCCCTGGTCTAAATTCTTGCAAGCAGTTATCTTGCCTGTGGAAGCTTGTCTTCAGGTTGATTGTTTTAGATGTCTGTTACATATTACTGTGCAGTATGCATATGAAGTGTTGTGTTAGCAAATCTGTTTTGACCGTTTCTATTCTGGTTTGTTGACCATAATTAATTTTAGTTTTATTCATTCTCCAACCCAATATAGGGGAAATGAAAATTGTGCCTTTATAACTTCAATATTGTCATAAATTTTACACTTTTAAACAGAAGATACCAGGCACATTCCACCATATTTGAGGGTAGATACATTCATTTAATCAAGTACAGCTTTCAGACATACTAATGTGCTAGCTCTGATCTAACTGGCTGCACAAGAGCAAGTTGTGTGCAAAGTGAGCTCACAGTCTTCTTTTATACAAAGACACACTCATATTTTTCCCATGGTATCTATTTAGATCAGGGGTCGTCCAACTACGGCCCGGGGGCCGGATGCAGCCTGCTGAGGGCATTTATCCAGCCCCCGAGGAGGATGCATCCCTCTCAGTGGAATCAGTCTTGACTCTGTTAATGCAGAGCTCCTTTCGTTCTTTGTCTCCCCCCTCACGCTCTCGCTCTCTCTCTCTCTCTCTCTCTCTCTCCCGGTTTCAGTCTCTCCCCCTTTCTCCTCTCTTTTTCTTTCTCTTTCGCCCTTCTCTCTTTCTCCCTCTTTTCTCTCTCCTTTTTGCCTCTTTTTTTAATATCCCTTTCTTCTCCTTCTTCATCCTTAGAGGAGGAGGGGGGAGGAGGAGTGTCTTGGAGCGCTGAGGCTGCTGCCTGGAAGAGAGGAGGAAAGAGAATTCCTTGCCTCTGCTCTTCCGGAAAAGATGCAGAGCTGTGCAGCTACTAGGCAGCCCCAAAGCCTCCCCTCACCATCCAGCCCTCCTTCCTTCCTTCCATCCACCTCTACCTGGTCGCAGGGCTCAAGGCAGCTAGGAGCCCCTGCAACCCCCGCCCCCAAGTTAAAGAGGAAGGGAAGAGTGGGGGTGGCAGAAATGCCAGCATCCCAGAGGAAAGACCAAAACCTGGGCTTCCTTTTCTTCCCCTCTTTGTCCTCTGTTTCTCTTCAGAAAATCCAGGCTCCTCCTTTGAAAACAGTCAGAAGGTGGGCTGTTAGGAATTGTGGGAACTGAAGTCCAACACACAAGGAGGGCCCCAGTTAGCCCATGCCTGCTTTAAAGAATACCAATGATATTTACTTCTGTTGTAATATTTAATATATTTGTTTATTTGAAATTGTATTGAAATGTAAGCTACTTTGGTCCTTTCCACACAGCTATATAAAATCCACACTGAACTGGTTTAAATGGCAGTGTGAACTCTGAAAATGCAGTACAAAGGAGATATTGTGGATTATCTGGCTTGATATTCTGTGTTATATGGCTGTTTGTAAGGGCCCTTTGAGTGCCCTTCCAAACAGGCCCTATATCCCAGTATCTGATCCTAGGTGTCTGTTTATCCCGGGTTATTTGGCAGTGCAGACTCATATAATCCAGTTTAAAGAAGAAAACCTGAGATCAGATCCTGGGATATAGGGTCTGTCTGGAAAGTCCCACAGTCTCCTTGTGGGAACAAAAAGTGGTGTATAAACAAACATAATAATAATAAAGTCCTCCTCTTCTGATTTCCTGCTTGGAGAACAAAAATTGTTCCTGGTTTGAAAGTGTTATTTCCTGTTTAATTGTGCAGCCCTTACTTTGAAAGTAGTTGTCCTCCTCCAGAAACTTTGTGTGGCTGCCACAAACTATGATTAATCTATTGGTTTCGGGAGTTCTGTATGCCAAGTTTGGTTGAATTCCATTATTGGGGAATTCAGAATGCTCTTTGATTTCAGGAGCTACTGCAACTCCCTCATGTCTGAGTGTATTTTAACCAAAGCTCTCCAGTATTTTCTGTTGGTCATGGAAGTTCTACATGTCAAGTTTGGTTCAATTCCATTGTTGGTGGAGCCCAGAATGCCCTTTGATGGCTGGTGAACTATAAATCCACATAATGAATGAAACATCTGAAATCTCCAACCAGATCTACTGATGCACACTTCAGTAGTTCTGGTTGGAGATGCACACTTGCAGCATTTGTTATGACTAGCAGTGACAAATATGGAACCGGACATTGACCATCTCATTACATTAGCCAAAAGTAGGCCCATATTCCCACTGAAATACTGATAAGTTTGTTGATTTAACTTAACTTGTTATTCACTTTAAATATTGTATTTGTTCCCGTTTTGTTTTTTTACTTCAAAATAAGATATGTGCCGTGTGCATGGGAATTTGGTTATAGTTTTTTTTAACTATAGTTCAGCCCTCCAACTGTCTGAGGGACAGTGAACTGGCCCCCTGTTAAAAAAAGTTTGAGGACCCCTGATTTAGATCATTTCTAATCCTGACAAGTAGTATATAGTGAGAGGGCTTTGCTGTGGTGAGAAGGGAATGTCTGAATCCCCCCTACCATCCATTCAGAGCCCCTTGCAGCTACAGATAGATTGTGGTATTATATGGATGTCATAACTATCTGCATTTCTTCTTTGCTCTGTTATAATTTCCAGGAAGAGGAAACTAGAAATTAAAGTGAAGAAACTTGAAGGTAATTGCATCCACTGTTTATATTTCTAAAACTGGTTTATAAGTCAACTAGATCACTCGTTTTCTGAAAGAACCCCTTTATTTACAATATTTCTATCCTGTTTTCTTAGCCTAAAAAGTTATTTACTAAGACATAATTTGCAGTCTTCCTGCAACCTACATTCCCTCTCCTTTACCGCCATAAAACTACAATGTAGGAAAATGTGTTTCATGCAATTTCATGTGTTAGTGACAATTCACAGCTTGCAATAAGCCACCTCTGTTGCCCATGACTTGACACTTATTTGCAAGCTTCCAAAAGGAACCTAGGGTGAGAATTACTTTCTTTATATCACCAGCTATAAAGTGATATGGCTTGTCCTGCAATTTGCAAATAACTAGGTTACGTGGGGAGAAGAATGGGCCACTTTCCTATTTTGAACAGATATATATATATAAAATCTTTGGGGCACCTGTAAATCAAAAGTCTTCATAGAATTGTAACTGGTGTTTGCCAATGTCTCATATATCACATAAACCACATTCAGATGTGATTTATTGGAACCTAAGGGCTAGCCCTAGCACTACTTATAAAAAGTCCCTCTTAAATTTTAGGGTTTCTTTGAAAAATGTGGTCCCGTTTTTTTGTGCCGAAGGAAGAAGCCTCTAGACAGGTAGAAAGCAACTGAATTCTAATCCTTAAATTGTTTAGAAAATTGTTTAGGGACAGGGCCTTCTCGGTGGTGACCCCCCCCCCCCCCGATCTGTGGAACTCACTCTGCAGTGAGATTAGGTTGGCATCATCCCTCCTTTCTTTTAGGAAGAAATTGAAATCATGGTTTTGGGACCAAGACTTTGGACAACAGGCATGAAAGCACTTTGGATGTTGAACTGGACTGGAAGCTGCTATTTGGCTTGATAATAATGTTTTAAGATTGTTTTTAACTTACTGTTTTTATTGTTTAAATTCTGTTATATTTATTATATCTGTTTGTATGTTGTGGCATCGAATTGTTGCCAGTGTAAGCTGCTCTGAGTTCCCTCTCCGGGGTTGAGAAAGGCGGGGTAGAAATGTTAGAAATAAATAAATAAATAAGCATGAATGAAGCATTCATACATCCCCTTGTCCTTCTGGCCAGTGGTGAAGCTGCAATAGTGCATGGGGAAAGACCTACTCTTCTTAGCTTGCTCCTTGCAGTTGACCTGATATCAAGAACAATGATCTCTCTAGAGCAGTGGTTCCCAACCTTTGATCCTCCAGGTGTTTTGGACTTCAGCTCCCACAATTCCTAACAGCTGGTAAATTGGCTGGGATTTCTAGGAGTTGAAGTTCAAAACAGCTGAAGGACCAAAGGTTGGGAACCACTTTTCTGGATGATGATGGATTGTAATATTAATCGGCTCTAGACAGTGCAGCCAGTTTTAAAGAATGATGAGTGCTACAGACTAACAACACCTGGAATGGCATTGGTTTTTCATCCTTGCCTTCAGTTGTCCATGGTTTCGAGTCAGTAAAAAGTATGTAAGGAAAGCATCACTTTGCAACCCAGATATCCTGTCTTCTACTAAATCCCATTGGAATAATTGCAATTATCCACCTTTCAAAAAGTTGCTGGAAGGAGAGTCATGGCATAAATCTGTTTTCTAACTCCTTCAGTCATTTATGGGTCAAAAAGAGTTGTGCGTATGCACTCTCAAAACATTGGTGGCCTGTAAACGTATTTGTGATGATCCCTGTGTGTCTGTCTATGTATTCTCCCCTCTCCCCAAGATTTTGTTCCTTTATCTCTTAAAATGCAAACAAATATTAGATTATGGCCTTGTTTCATTGACTAGTGCCGTGATGGTGAACCTATGACATGTGTGTCAGCACTGACATGCATGGCTATTTTTTATGACACGCAGACACATGCAGCCGCATACAGAGAAGTACTCCTTATAAGAGCCAATCTAATTCCATCCTTCAATTTGTAAAAGGCTCTACAAATTTAACATCTGCACATTTGAGCATTGTTCACTCCATAACTCAGCATGGATTACATATTTTTTCCTGTTTAAACTATAAATATTGTAAAATTATGGTGTGTTTTTTTTTCTCTCGAAGTGACACCCCACCCACGTTATGCTCAGGTTTTGGGGGAATTTTGACACACCAAGCTCAAAAGGTTGCCCATCACTGGAATAGTGGTTTGTTGAATATGAGAGATTAGAAAGACAGAAAAAGAAAAGTTGTAGATCTTTGTTCATCCCAGCTTTTTCTCTTCTTTCCTCATCTAGCAGTAAGGCCCATCCTCAACTCAGTACAAGATCTACTTTAAAACCCTGCTTTTCAGGTTTTTAGCAAAACAGAATGTCCAGTCTTGATGAGAAAATCATATTTTTAAAAACATAAAAGGCTATTTTCACATCTTTTCTACAAATTTTGATGTTCACCCATCAATGGAAGGGTGATGTCAGAAGTGTCCACCACTTAAAGAACCTTTAATTGTTTTTTCAGTGCAAAAGGGGGGCATTAATTTCCCCAGTGAGATATTGTAAATGCTGTCAGGGCTGGTAAGTAGGTTTGCCCCTCATTGCAACATAGTTACTAAACACAATTTTTCCCCTTTGAAACTACTGTGCAAATAAATGGAAGACAGAAGGAAATAACATCACTTAGTGTAATGATGGGAAAATTACCAGTTTGCATTAGCCTCTCAGGAGACTTTGGAGAGCCACACCACTTCTCTCACACACACACAAATCATTTTTTTTAAAAAAATTGCTCTTAAATTCACAGGTGACATTTTCGCCATGTTTAGGGGCCTTCCTGAGCTATGTTAGGCCCAGGAGTCCTTTATAAGAACAGGAAGTGAAGCCATTGCCATTTAAGACATATTTCACTCAAGGCCTCTACTTTAGCATTTTGAAAAACTTGCTTTTCTCTCCCTGACTCAGGAACATCATGAATTGGTATATTCAGTTCCCTTGTTACCTTTCAGTGATATTGTAAAATGCTGTAGGAAATTTTTCACTATCATCAGGCTTCTTTCATAGAACCTGAGAATGCATTCTCAAGAGGTGTTTTCACACAGTAAATAATATTTGATTATGATATTTTAAAAATTCAATTAGAAAATTTTTAAATTGTTCCAAAAGAAAAACCTTTGCTGGAGTACAGATCAGCAAAGACTAAACAATGAAATCTACACTCTTCACTTGGTCAGATAGAATGCAATGACATTGATTTCTGAGTAGAAAGGATTCTGCTGTTTTATATTTCTATAATTAGGATATTTTAAGGAGAATATTTCTATTTTATAGTTTGCTAAGAAACTTTGAGGAATACAGTCTTACGTAAAAATATATTACTTTTAATAGCTTTTAGTAAGATCTTTATTCTTGTTTTGTAGTGATTTCTTAGATGCTAAGTCATTAGCAAAACATGTTTTGTAGTGCTGTGTCCAATTTTAAGGGAACACTGCCAGATCCAAACCACACACTTCCAGTGTGATGAAATCTTAGTGAAATAGAACAGAGCTGAGGGCTGCAAGCCTTGAAAAACACTGAGAGTTGGATAAACCAGAAAGGAAAGGCATTACTATGCAAGTGCATTCTTCGTTTGTTGACCAGTTTTATGTTGATTGGAAGGCAAGCTTAATGGGTTTAACAAGTCTTGATTGCTTTTTCCTTTAAATGAAGAGGCTGCAACAAAACACATCCAGGATTTCAAGCAGTTGAAAGCAGAGAAGAAAGTTCTTGAGAAGCAACTGAAAAAAGCACAGGTAGTTTCTGTAATGTTTTATTGCAGTTAAAAGAAGGTACTTTCTTGAATGTTGTTCTGCATGCTTTACCTAACACTGTGAATTGGAGAGCTCAGTGTTGGCAGCAAATTTGTCTAGTGGGTTATTTTTTCCCCCCGACAAACAGGCAGTTCCCCAAGTTACAAACAAGATAGGTTCTCTAGGTTTGTTCTTAAGTTGAATTTGTATGTAAGTTGGAACAGGTACAATTTTAAGTATGACTCCAGGAATTTTTTAAAAGCTTTTTATAGCATAGAGAAGGGTGAACAGCCCTGTTGTGTTTGTTTTGCTGTCTGGGGCCCTGTTTAGAAGATTTTCCCTCACTTTCTGTACCTATGATAATTGGATATTGAAAAAAAAAGTCTTATTGTAGCAACAAGGATTGGTGATAGTTTTACCAATCCTTGGCAAGCATGTAGCTGGGGGGGGGGGTGGGCTTGAGGGGCTTCACCTCCCCCCCCCCCCCCCCCCCGGAAATTCTCAGGGTGGTCAGCAAGAAGACCTTACTGGTACATTATTTAAACTGCTATGTTTATTTATATCATGATCTGATCACCATACTCTATATATGCCATATGCATGGGGGTATTGGGATAATGATACAAAAGATTTGCTAGGGTAGATCCTCAGCCCCCCCCCCCCAAAAAAAATCAAAATCCTGGCTACGAGCCTAATCCTTGGTGAAACTTTCCCCCATGAAAACTTCCAGGAGTGAATTTCCCTTTCTAGGGGTAGATTTCTCTCACTTCCTGTTGTCTTAGCCCCATTCTTAACTATGAGTTGTTTCCAAGTCGGATGTTTGTAACTCAGAGACTGCCTGTATATGTATATATGTGTGTATATATATCAAAAGTGTGTTGTGAATTCTAAATCAGACATGTTTCCTCCTTGCTTCCAGCTCTGCTTGCTTCTTCTCAGAGCATCCCCAAAATTTCTGACAGGTTGAGTTATCAGTGGACTCAACTCCTTTTCCATCTCTCCCCCTTTACAATGAATTATACTGGAAGATCTATTGGTGAATTACATTATAGATAGAGGACTTATGATAAACATCATTTTTGTGACCGGGTTGACTTGGTTTGTTAGCTTTGTGGTCCTGTAACATGACAGCAAAAGCAGCATTTGCAGAAAATAATAATATTGTGACTAAAGGACAAAATAATGATGTTGAGGACAATATTAATATTTAGACTATACTAATGTTCATAATACTTTAAAGAAGAAGTAGGTAATGTACTGTATATACTCGAGTATAAGCCTAGTTTTTCAGCCCTTTTTTAGTCCCCCTTGGTTTATACTCAAGTCAAGGTTATTTATTATTTTATTCTATTATTATTATTATTATCATTTCATTTATTATTTTATTCTATGTATTATTATTACATTTATCATTTTACTCTATTATTATACATTTATTATTTTACTATATAATTGTTGTTATTGCTACATTCATTATTTTGCTCTTTTTATTGTTGTTGTTACATTTATTATGTTACTCTATTATTATTGGAAGGATACATAAGCACATTTACATTGAAGAAGGTAAATAATAATTTAATCAGAGTTAGACAGTCTTATCTTAAATTACCATTTTTGTAAATATTCAAAAATAATCTACTGATTCCTCAATTAATGTAATTTAATTGGTATCTATTTTTATTTTGCAATTTACCAGTAGCTGCTGCATTTCCCACCCTCGGCTTATACTCGAGTCAATCCGTTTTCCCAGCTTTTTGTGGTAAAATTAAGTGCCTCTGCTTATATACGGGTCGGCTTAATCTCGAGTATATACGGTAGTTTCCTTGGGTGCTAAAGTACCATGGATATATCTGCCTGCCGAGGCAGTCTGTACTTGGAAATAGACAGCTAACACTTTTTTTGTTGCAAATGAGGCAATATCCTCAAATTTATTTTTTCAGTTTTAAATCAGGCTTATTTGAAAGTTTATGAGGTAATTTAGGAGGCAGTGGGACACTCCTATTTTTGGTGTTGTGAATTGTAATTAGCTCTTTTCCCCATTCACATTAATAGGAAAAGATCGATGGCTTTCCTCATGCAAAACGTAAGAAAGGTAGCACTCCTCTTTGTTGTCACTTTTGGTTTTTCAATTTCAGTTTTATTTTTTTAATTCCTTATCTCATGTGTCGCTGTATATTCATTTCCTTTCAGTGCTAAAGAATGCAGAGACCCAGAGTGAGGAAGAGAATCCAGCTGCAAGCATAGACAAAGGTTGGTATGTATACATCTTTTCACAAGTAGTGGTACAGATACACATAGCTGTTCTTTTTTTCAGTGGATCATTAATGAAATCAGTGCATCCCATTATAGATGCTCACACTTCCATGTTACATAAAGAAACTGCATGGATATTTTATTACCTCTTGGAGCCTATGAAATTCTCTAGATATGCTCAAGGAAATATCATTGTCTTCTATCAGAAAGCTCTGTCTTTTATTTATTTATTTATTTACTTTATTTGTATACCGCTCTTCTCAGCCCTTAGGCGACTCAGAGCGGTTTACAACAGTTTAGATATACAGAATACAAAATCATTATGCATTTAAAAACAATTACTAGTATTATATTTCATTACATTACAATATTATAAATATTATATGTATATACAATATATTATATTATAACATATTATTAGAATAGCACAGGAGACAAGGTGGAACTGTCCCCTGGCCCCTCTTTCTTCGCTCTGGCCCAGAGCGGCAGTTGGTGCTGTGGGGAGGGGTCCCCAACGGATGGCAAATGCAGGAGACAAGATGGTGCTGTCCCCTGGCCTCCCCTCTCTTCGCTCTGGCCCAGAGCGGCAGTTGGTGCTGGGGGGAGGGATCCCCAACGGATGGCAAATGCAGGAGACAAGATGGTGCTGTCTCCTGGCCTCCCCTCTCTTCGCTCTGGCCCAGAGTGACAGTTGGTGCTGTGGGGAGGGGTCCTGGTAGGCAACTGCATCTCTCCATAGCCTGTAGGGCAGTGGTTCTCAACCTTCCTAATGCCGCGACCCCTTAATACAGTTCCTCATGTTGTGGTGACCCTCAACCATAACCCTAACATTATGAATCGCCATGTAAATAATGATCTGCAGGATGTATTTTCATTCACTGGAGCAAATTTGGCACAAATACCCGGTATGCCCAAATTTGAATACTGGTGGGGTTGGCGGGGGATTGATTTTGTCATTTGGGAGTTGTAGTTGCTGGGATTTATAGTTAACATGTAAACAAAGAGCATTCTGAACCCCACAACAATGGAATTGAACCAAAGTTGGCACAGAGAACTCCCATGATCAACAGAAAATACTGGAAGGGTTTGGTGGGCATTGACCTTGAGTTTGGGAGTTGTAGTTCGCCTACATCCAGAGAGCACTGTGGGCTCAAACAATGATGGATCTGGACCAAACTTGGCACGGATACACCATATGCCCAAATGTGAACACTGATGGGGTTTGGGGAAAATAGACTTTGACATTTGGGAGTTGTAGATGCTGGGATTTATAGTTCACCTACAATCAAGGAGCGTTCTGAATCCCACCAATGATAGAGTTGGGCCAAACTTCCCACACAGAACCCCCATGACCAACAGAAAATACTGTGTTTTCTGATGGTCATTGGCGACCCCTCTGACACCCCTTTGCGACCCCCTCAGGGGTCCCGACCCCCAGGTTGAGAAACACTGCTGTAGGGGATGGTGAAAGTTGCAGTCCAGAAAATCCTGCCTACCCTTAAACTTAAAATGTTCTATTTTTATGATATGTGTAGAACTAGTGTGATGTAATGATAATAATAATAATAATAATAATAATAATAATACTTTATTTATATACTGCTCCATCTCAGAGCGGTTCCCAGGTAACATCACAAAACATCCAAAGTAAAAGCAACATAACCATGAAATTAACAAAACAAATTATAAGCATAAAAATTGTCACCATAACACTCATATATTAAAAGTAATCCTGCCTGTGCAAGGCAATTTGAAAATTTAAAAGGCCGGGCCAAGATTTGTGCAAGCCCAAAAATTCTAGGGGGCCCGGGAATTAAGTGCAATGCTATAGGAGGCAACAATAATATTAGGTACAGGTCTGTGGCTGATTTGGGTGTTGGACTAGAACTTTGGAGATCAGGGTTCAAATCCCTCTCAACCCACTGGTCAAGAAAACCCTGTGATAGGGTCATCATAAATCAGACACAACTTGGACAACAACAAGATTGCCATACAGCAGACCAGATTTTTTTTTTCCTGCAGGCTTTATCTTACTTTGCCAAATTCAGTTTTTTTCTTAGTACTGAAAAAGATGTTGCACGATGTTAGTTGTTGACCTGTCAGACATAAAGCCTTGATAGTAGTTTATCAGTCTCCTTAGAATCCCATTGCAACTTGCAGCATCACCACCACATGTCACACAAATTATTTGAACTCCAGGCAGTCCCAATGATCAAACACGATAGGTTCTGTAGGTTTGTTCTCAAGTTGAATTTGTATGTAAGTCGGAACAGGTGCTTTTTTTAAAGTGCAACTCCAGCCATATATTTATATTATATTATATTATATTATATTATATTATATTATATTATATTATATTATATTATATTATATATGCTGTGGATAGCATAGGGAAGGGGTAACGCCCCTGTGGTGTTTGTTTTGCTGTCTGTTCCTCTGTTCGGAATATTTCACCTCACTTTCTGTTCCTATGATAATTGGATTTTGAAAAATGCGACTTGTTGAAACAAAGATTGGGGATAAAATTTCAGTTGAAATAACTTTTCCCCATGATAACTTTTTCAGAAGTGAGTTTCCCTTCCAAAAGGTAAATTTCTCTTGTTGTCTCACTCCCGTTCTTAACTATGAGTCATTTGAAAGTGTGATGTTTGTAACTTGGGAAATTTCTGTCCATGGAAGTTGCAAACTGGCAAGGAGGATTGGCTTGTCAAACATTTAAACTCCATGCCTTTGTTCTCAATTATCTGTCTCACCGTTGCCTTGAATCAAAGAATGTACAAAGCATATGATAAACATTATATGGTCTGGAGTTTAGACAGTTTTGTATAGCAATCAGTTAGGCCAGGAGTTTGAATCATGGAAAATTGGGAGACACAAGGATCATAAGAGAAGAAAAGATACAAGGAAGTGACTCTGATGAGGGAACTTTGGGGTGTGGGGAATTTGGTGGTAATAATAATAATAATAATAATAATAATAATAATAATAATAATAATCCTTCATTTATACCCCACCACCATCTCCCCAAGGGGACTCGGGGCAGCTTACATGAGGCCAAGCCCAACAACACATCAGTAAAACAACAGAGCAATAAGCAAATAACACAATACAATTAATTTAACTCATATATAGGCAATAACACACAAAAACACACAAAAATGTAAAAACTTTTGGCTGGGCCAGATGTAATAAGTTTAACATTTTAAAATAAACCCTGGGCGTGAACAAAGGTGGGATGTATCTAAGCAGAGGGTTTTAAGGATAATGTAGGGAGAGCAACCCAACGGGTAAGGACATTTTGCAGGGAATTGACCAGAGCAGGGCATTGTTCCTTTATTCAGGGAAGGCACACTGGAACAGCCACGTTTTCAGGCTCCTCCTAAAGACTGCCAATGTGGGGGCTTGCCTGATATCCTTGGGGAGTGAGTTCTAGAGACGGGGGGCCACCATAGAGAAGGCCCTCTCCCTCGCCCCCACCAATCGTGCCTGCGAAGGGGGTGGGAGCGAGAGTAGGGTCTCTCCAGATGATCGTAGAGATCGTGTGGGTTCATATGCTGGTACATTGAGCTGTTGTACGTAATCCATTTAAACTGATTGGCTGATTTAAGTGTTCATGTCTAAAGAAAACTTTCAGATCATTTTGAATGGTGACGTGAAGGCTAGAAAAAGAACCAACGTGTCATTTTTTTCTGGGCCACCTGAAATGTTATGTTTATCTTTGACACGTTGACTTCTAACGAGAAAAGCGAAAGAGACCATTTGTTTTTAAAGAACTTTCCCTGCTTGATAAGTTTAGCATTATTTCTTTCTCACTGCAAAATATCAGATCTGAATCACTACATTTCCTTATAAAGGTAAACACCAAACGCACAGTCTTTATCAAAAAGTGATAGAAGTGCCAAATGAAATATGCGCTTTTTATTTCATTTGTGAGTCAGGAGCTTAATTAACTAAGTGGGAGGAAGGATATGATGCAATTTAAATTGACGTGCTTCGATGTTTTGCTATTGTTTATCGTGCAAATTAGGCTGAGTCCTCCAAGGATGCACAGGGCTCAGGAGAGTTTCAGAGAAGGGAAAAGAGCATATCGGTTCACTAGTGACTTACACTTTGCACAAAGTAAAAAATTCTGTGGAATCTTTACAGAGGTGAAACGTCGCACTCTAATGATGATATAGTGAAAATGTTAACTATAATGTCAGCCCTGAATTTTTCTAGGCCCCCTATAACCATGTTCTTTTCTTGTGATTAATTCTTTTTTAAGACAGCAACTTTTATGTATATGCATTCTGCAAGTACAGGGTGAGGCAGCATAACTTCCTTTTTTCAAAACTTAATAAAACCCATTGTATGAATCAGTTTGTGTTTTTTTTATAATATAGGCGCATACCTAAAGTTTTGTTTTACGTAGTTTTGAAGATCAAATTAGGTAGGTGACGTCCCCCACTCTCCATACACTGAGTAAACCGATTTCTGGCATTTGTCATGACTCTTGCCAGCATAGCAGGCATTATGTTGGTCTTCAAATCTTGTAGGGTCCTTGGACGGTTCACATAAACACAGGATTTCAAAAAAACCCATAGAAAAAATCACAAGGAGCCAAATCTGGAGAGCGGGCCAGCCACTCCAAATCCACTCGAAAAGTAGGCCTCAATGGCAAAAGCACGCTCCTCACTGTTCCAATGCATGATGGCGACTGAACAGTGTCAGGACAAAACTTTATACTTCCTCCTCTCGAACGAGACCACTACTGCTCCGCTACGTCTTCAACCTACTGAATGGTGTGCATTTTAAAAAAGGAAGTTATGCTGCCTCACCCTGTATAAAGCCATTTTTTTCCTCTGTCTGACACACTTTCCCCAGGGGTGAGAAAAGCGGTATAGAAATGCAGTTAATAATGTATGGTCTTATATAATCTTTATTAGGATGCTGTCCTTCAGATCCTATTCTTGAATGTTAAATGTGTAAATACCCTATTTTTAGGCTTTTCTAATTAAATTTGAACTCTTTATATATCAGAAATCTGCTTTCTTGCTGATGTAGAAGTCCCTTAATATTTTTGTGAAATATCTCATATTACCCACTCCAGTGAGAAGGCAACAGAAGGAAACACCTCATACTTCCCTTCACCCCAATTGCCACTGCCCTGGCATCAGAAAAAGAGAGAGAAAAGAGAAAGAGGGAAAGGCAGGCTGTCTCCATCATGCCTAGGTCTAGAAGCAGAGGAAAGGCCCTTCCTACCTCCCATGATTTCTAACCATGGAAGAAGAGAAGAAGAAACAGGCATAGCTGTATCATTCTGAGACCTAGAAACAAATGAAAGGTCCTCTCTCCATCCCACTGAGGGAGCGAGAACAAGACAGGCTAGTGCCAGAAGCAGGTGAGAAACCATTCCCAGAATCGCAACTTCCATTGCCCTGGCCTCAGCAAAATAGAGAGAGGAAAAGGTAGACACCACTTCATTATGCCTAGCCCTTCTCTCCATCCCAGCTGCCACTGCCATGGCCTCAGAGGGAGAGAAGAGGCAGTCCTTTCTAGAATTAATCCCCCACACTAAGAACCCCCTTTCCCTTTGTGTCATGACTTAATTGTGCACAATCTTTTTTTCTGTTACTTGTAAAGCTCAGTGTACAGTGGTGCAGATATGAATGAATGACACTGATTATCATGAAATAAATATGACTGGACAATTGTGCCTGATTACTATAATCACCTCTATCTATCGATTGTTCTCAAAATTTGTCTCGGACTTGCTGAGTCCCTTTCATATTCTTTTTATCTCAGAAAAAGTTAACAGTCAAATGGATGATATAGCATTGGTTCTCAACCTGTGGGTCCCTAGGTGTTTTGGCCTACAACTCCCAAAAATCCCAGCCAGTTTACCATCTGTTAGGATTTTGGAATTGAAGGCCAAAACATCTGGGGACCCACAGATTGAGAATTACTCATATATATATAGAGGGGGGGGGGATGATGGTGATGGTAGTGGTAATCAGGTAAAATTGTCCAGTCATATTTATTTCATATGAATCAGTGTCTTCAGTAGATGTGGCTCTTAATGAGACATGCTGCATTATCACGGGGTGTCTGCGCCCTACACCACCGGAGTATTTACACTGTTTAGCAGGTATTGCATCACCTGACGTCTCCAGGAGGTAGCAACCAACAGTGAAAGGACCAAGGCAGTGACATCTCCAGCCCATCCTCTGTTTGGGTATCAGCCAGCACGTCAACCACTTAAATCAAGACATAGTTTTCTAAGATCTACAGAGACATTCGCTGGAACACCTCAGCAAGTGAGAGTCCAAAAGTGGCAGGCTCAAACCCAGAAGCTCAACCAATGGCTGATACCAAATGAGAGACTCCCCCCTGGGCAAACAGAAAACTGGGCGACTTGGAAGGCGCTGAACAGACTGCGCTCTGGCACCACGAGATTCAGAGCCAACCTTAAGAAATGGGGCTACCAAGTGGAATCCATGACATGCGAGTGTGGAGAAGAGCAAACTACAGACCATCTGCTGCGATGCAACCTGAGCCCTACTACATTCACAATGGAGGACCTTCTTACAGTAACACCAGAGGCACTCCAAGTGGCCAGCTACTGGTCAAAGGACATTTAATTAACTACCAAGCTTGCAAACTTTGTGTTTTGTTTGTTTGTTTGTTTGTTTGTTTAAAAATGCAATAGAACTGTTTGGTTTGCTCCTGATACGATAAATAAAAATAGTGTCTTCAATTACATGTGTCCCATACTTCAGGATCTCAAACCACGTGAAAATACCATTGACTTCTTAATTATTTTACAGAAAAAATCAAGCTGATGTTGGATGAACTCTGGATGTGTATCAGTGGCTCCACAGATCAAATCAGTGAAAATGATTGTATTCTAGGTGAGTCTAAGCATTGCAGTTCTAGAGCTCATGAGAAATTACATTTTTTTAAAAAAAAGCTGTTGCCGTTTTCAAGACCAGTAAATTTTGAAAGTCTTTTTCTTTCTGCAATAGGTGGTTCGCATAATCATTCAAGAACCCTTGGAAGAACAAGTACGTACTTTTTTTGGATGACATTGAAGCCAGCCTTTCAAATCTGCAGTGTTAGTGTGGGAGTAACAGAATATGCATATAAGCCTTTTATGAAAAGCACATCACATCTGCTTGAGAGGGACAGTAATATTTTTGTCTCTAAACTGTTGGAAATCTTAATTTAACACGGCCTCTTCTTTTCTTTTGGGACCTCATAAGGAATAGTTGAGATCCTGGTTCCATTTAGATATATTGTTCTCTAAATTTGTCTCTGGCTTTCAGAATCTCCCCTATTCTTTTCATCTCGGAAAAAGTTAACAGTCAAATGGACGATCTTTTACAACTTTGAATGTGGGATTTCTTGATATTTAGAGATTTGGTGCTGGGACAAGGAAATTACTTACAAGTGAGTAATAATGTGACACTTCCAGCTCCTACCAGTGAGAGAATGAGAAGGAGTGAGAGGCTTGCTCCTGATCACTCTCAGGAAAGAATTGGATTTTGGCAATCCCTGTTATCTAATAAAACTCCCCAATGTAGGATAAATGATTTTCTTAGCTTAAACCTCCAGAAATAGGGGGTGGAAGCATTATTCTTATTGAAAACACAGTGAAATCTTCCTTTTTTTATAGAAATGATGCCGAATTCCCAAAAAATGAAGAAACCTCAAGGAGAAATGAAATCTGGTGGTTCTTTCTCTGAACCCTGTGCAGTAGAAACAACGTTGTCTTCATTGCATGTAAAATCGGATAAGAAATCTACTAAATACAACGAGTCAGTACAAACTAAGACCATGGAAACTACTGAAAATTGCAACGGCACTTTTTGTGAAGACATATCACTAGAAGACATTTCTCTGACAGATTTATCAACAACTTATATGAATCTTCTCAGCAAAACCTCAGAAGAACATGATGAAATCCTACGAGATATGTTGAAGTGGGTTACGCCCCTTCCTCCTGTATTGTCTCCCATACAGTTTTCACCTTCCACTACTCCAGTAAGTAGTAGTAATAGTAATAATATTAATAATAATATTAATAAATATTTATGTCCCGCTTTTCTCCCTCGCGGGACCCAAAGCAATTTACAATATTAAAATCATGTAAACAACAGTCTATATACATCAATAATAAGTCTAAAACATCACAAAATAAGCTCTTTAAAACAACAGTAGTATACATTCACATTCTTGTGACATCATGTCAGATTATATTGCACTTTGTAGTAATAATAATGAATTGGCTTTGGTTGATAGATAGATATTAGGGCAGTCATTTTCAAATAGACTGCTTCAACTTGGAAACAGATGTAAGTTGCAGATGAGATGAAAGATAATTTGTTTTCCATGGTAAGATTGGTTTATGGTTGTTGCTGGTAAACAACCATTGCAGTATTTTATAGCACTTCAGAAACTGAAAGACAACTGTTATCCTTAGCTGATAAAATGTATATCCCTGGGCAGTGGTGCCAATGCCACACTATCTTTGTCAATCCAGAAAATCTATTGTCTGCCACTGGGCTTAGGGATTTAGGGACTTGTTTTTATCTAAAATACTCTGCACATTTTTGATCTGTTAGAATGATTTTAGATATATGTAAGCCTATGCATTTGGGGGGGGGGGGGAAAGGAGATGAAGAAGGGAAATTATTTCCTATATATCCTAGAACTGATCAGATAAGCTATTTTGTATGTACAATGAACACACACAAGGGATTTTGACTTGTTTGAACATCATCTAACTCCTGTCTTATCAGAAGATGCTCCTAAATATCCCCTGCCTGTCTTTGGGGTTATCAGGAAACCTGTTGGTTCCAAATGTAACCTAATAGTGAGAGACATCACACTTGTTGAAATATATGCATTTACAGGCAGTACCCATGTTACAAACAAGATAAGTTCTGTAGGTTTTTTCTTAAGTTGAATCTATATTTAAGTCAGAACAGGTACATTTTGTAAGTGTAATTCCAGCAAAAAAAGTGTGTTTTTTCTAGGTTTGGGTAGCATAGGGAAAGGTTAACACCCCTATAACATTTGTTTTACTGCTCTGTGCCCCTGTTCAGAAGACTCCACTTTCTGTCCCTGTGACACTTAGATTTTAGAAATTTTGGTTTGTTGTGGAAACAAGGATTGGTGATAAAGCTTCAGTGGAGACTATTTTCCCATGTTCACTCTTCCATGAGTGAATTTTCCTTCGTAGGAAAGAGTAGTTTTCCTTTCCTGTTATCTCATCCCCGCTTGTAACTAGGAGTTGTATGTAAGTCGCATGTTTGTAACTCAAGAACTGCCTGTACTCCCAGTTGGGAACATAATTCAAAATTTCACTGTTGATTTTTCAACTGTCAGTGACTTGTGCAAAATCTTTTTGGCTTTCTGCATGAGTCTTCTCTGTATACTCAACATGTCCTCAGAGGGATTTTGCTCCAATGTGTGATGTTAAAGATGGTGGTACTATGTGATTTTAATATTTTTAACGTTGATATGTTTTTAGCAGATGTTTTAATATATATGTTTTTTATTTGCTGGATATGCATTGTATGTAATGTATGGCATCGAATTGTGCCTCAATGTGCGCCGCTCTGAGTCCCCTTCGGGGTCATGAAGGGCAGGATATAAATATCTATATAAATAAAAATATAATGTTCGTTTTTGGGATTAACATAACTCAAAAACCACTGGACTAATTGCTGCCAAATTTGGCCACAAGACACCTAGTATCCCAAGGAGTGACCATCACTAAAAAAAAAAAATGATTTTGTCATTTGGGAGTTGTTGCTGCGATTTATATGTTACTTACTTTGAGAGCATTCTGAACTCCACCAATGATGGAATTGAACCAAATGTGGTACACAGAACTCCCTTGACCGACAGAAAATACTAGAAGGGTTTGGTGTTCGTTGGCCTTGAGTTGTGGAGTTGTAGTTCACCTACATCCAGAAAGCACTGTGGACTCAAACTATGTTGGATCTGGACCAAAATTGGCACGAATATTCCATATGCCCAAATATGAACACAGATGGAGTTTGGGGAAAATAGACCTTGACATTTGGGAGTTGTAGTTATTGGGTTTTATAATTCACCTACAATCAAAGATCATGCTGAACCCCACCAACGACACAATTGGGGCAAAATTCCCACAGAGAAAGAACTCCCATACTTAAGGCCATCCAGTCCAACTCCCTTCACCAGGGCAAGAAAATATAATCAAAGCCCTCCTGACAAAGAGCCATCCAGCCATAGATATAGATAGATATATATGACTCACACACAGAGATATATAGTATCATAGATTTGAAAAGGACCCCTAAAGAAGGACAATTATATGTTGCATGTTCCAGAGCTGACAAACCAGACAATCTCCACATCAACACTGACAAAGAAACAGCAAGAAATACTGTTTACCCACAAGCATAAAGAAATTACATATATTAGAAACCAGCACTTTCGCATCTCTTGGAGTGCATCTTTTGTAATTTTTGTGTTGTTTACAGTTCTGTTGATTGCCCACTACTTTAGATAATTTCTTACAAAAAGTTACTGTACAAAAATAAATTGTTGAATCATCCAAGAAAGCTTTCTCCATGTTGTGCCTCGATAGGGAGGAAAATGTTACATGAATTTGAAAGGTTGCAACACAATTATGATTTTTACCACCTTAACAGTGCATAGTTGTTTGAAAGTGCCTTTAGTAGATTATTCCCTTTTTGTTAAAGTATCAAACAAGGTAATTTGTAGAGTCATTCGTGTAAGTGTTTGCATTATCATCATAACCAATTCTTCTGACTTGCCTCTTTCAGGAGACCTTATTTGGAGATATAACAGATTCCAGTGATGAAGAAATGAATGACAATGCACAGATGCTTGAAAATATCATTGAAAACCATAGTCAGAATGAACAAACAACTGAAGGCATGCATGAAAAACAGTCCTTGAGCAAACACAGTTCTTTCAGTGTCAACAGTGCAAATAGTGATCCTTGTGAATCGCCAGAAAGATTGAGCAATATAAAAAGTGAAGAGTTAATGTTGTGTTCTGACCCTTTGACAGCAAAATCAGAACACCTTAATGAAAAAGATGCCAAATCCAAGGATGAAGAAAAGTATTCTGACTTGATGAAAATACACACAGCCACTGAAACAGTAGTGCCAAGTATAGAAAACATCAAAGAAAATTCAACTAATGTGACAGAAACAAAAAATACAATTTTGATGCCTGATTTAATTGATGAACAGGATCAAGAAAAAACAGTTGAGCGAATGCATGTGCAAAAAATGCCTATGAACAGCACTGTGCTTACATTTGTAGACTCTAGTGACTCCATAAACCATGAAAAGAAGGGGCTGCTAACTACAGAAATAGAAGATTATTGGCCTCAGTCTCCCAAAATAAGTGACCAGCAGCACATAGAAGAATCCAGAATTCTGGAAAAATGTAAGGATGATGTGAATAAAGGAGGAATGGCAGAAGTTTTCTTTAAGGACACCCAACCAATATCTAATTTAGGAGAAGCAAGGTCTTTTGGTGAAAGGGCCTCTGAACATTTAGCAGTGGGTGAGCAAAATACAGCAGTTGAAGAACTTTGCATATTCAGAAGTAACGAACTCTTACTGGAACAGAAGAGGAATATCATCAACTGTAAGTTCCTTTCTGAAACAGAACAACCTATTGAGCAAGAGAAACCATTTATGCATTCCATTGAAAACAAGATTGATATTTCAATGAGATCACAATGCATGGAAGAAAACTGCACTGAAGAAAAACACAACAAACAAAATGAAACTCAAGAAGACAGGGAACATGAAGTGATGAATATAGGCTTTTCAAGTTCTCAGTTAAATACTACAGAGATAGCTGAAGGCTGCAAGAAATCATTATTTCAGATAGGTGAAACTGTTCAGACTGAGAGTGAATGCAGGACTGCCTTTTCTATGTCTACTAAAAAAGAAGATAATCAAATGGAAATAGCTAGTAGCATGGTTGAGGAATGCACATCAGTGGACATAAAAAAGGAAGACTGTCTCCAATTACAACCGTTAATTGACCAAAAATATAATTGTAAATCATCAGAGGAGCATCCAGAATATGAAAGTAACAGTATGCTACCAATTCAAGCACCTATTATGAAAGATTCTTTGTTGCCGTGTAAAGATCCCGTTATGATAAATTCTCTAGTCTTTCAAATAGAGAGTGTCCCTAGAAGTACTTCAAAACTGGGTGAGTTTGAAGGCGGAGATACAGACTCTCAGTGGAAGTCCAAAATGCCAAGTGTTTCGAATAGCTTTCCCGCTGTGGAGACTTCAATGGAGGGTGAATATCTGGCATCAAAAGGGCTTGAGAAGGAAGATGGTGAATCACTGAATACCACAGAAATGGGGATGATGCAGTCTGTTATGGCAGAAGGGAATATTTTTGAAACTGTGTGTAACAGAAGAGAGGAGACCAGTTTAATATCTGGAAATCAGCAATATGAGGTAAATGGCACATCTCAAGAAATGTCAAATTGGAATAGTAAGGGCACTTTGTGTCATCAAAGGAAGTATGCTGTGGAAAAGGAGGAAAAGCATGAAGAGTGTTCTGTAATAAAGGAGGTGTTATTGAAGCAGAACAAGAATGAAGATCTGGCTCAGCAAGATGCACCACAAACTAACAATGAAAGTATTGAAACAGTTTCGCCTGCCACAATAATGGCTGCTTCTCAATCTGCTGCCGAGCCCATGGATGTCAGTGGTTCCAGTCTGGAGGCTTTCAACAGGGATGGTCCGAGCTCTGATACTGCTGCAAACACACTGCCTTCTTCCCCTGTGTGCATTACCCCTTCCACTCCTGTCAGAGAAGATAGTACTTATTTTGATCATCATGTTGCAGAATGTTGGAAGAATCAAGAGGGAAATGCTGCTGCTTCTGAGGAAAAGGAACACAAGTCCCTTGACTGTCGCAGCCCTTCTAACAATAAGGATGAAGAGTCTCTCAGTACACCACAGGCACTGATTACTTTGAAAGGCTCTTGCAGTAGAGAAAACTACAAAGCACTGACTCCTGGGATTTCTGATCTGAATAGTTTTCACACAAAAGATGTGCTTCTAGCAAACAAACCAGTTCTAAGTGATGAGGAACCTCTTATTCCTAATAAGAAGTTGATGGAAGCATCAAAAAACAGTGCTTTAGAACATACGCTAGATGATGTTACAGCTAAAGAATCAGATAAAATGTTGAGTCATAAAAGTTGTGCAAGACTGGACACAATTAAGGTGTCAGAACATATTGTTATGGTTATGAAGTCATCTGTTTCAGTTGAGTTATCCGCAGAAGAATATTGCCCTTTGAGAAAGGTACAGTTCAAAAAAACACCTGAAGTGCCTTTGGCGAAAACAGAGTCTGTCAGAAATAGCCAGGCAAATATGGCATCTAATATGATTCTTTCAGGCGATGATCGACATGAAGTTGCACCTCAAAAAGAGAATCGGGCTCCAGGAGATGACACTGATTCCAGTGCAAACAAAACAGTGCAATGGACATGGGACCATTCATATTCAGTGGGAATGAAGTACAGTAATGAAAATGCCCCATTAAAACCGAAAACCATGATCGCAAAAGAGAAGTCAGAAGGGGGGCTAAAAGAAGAAAGTATTTCAATAATTACTCCGTTGCAGAGCCAAAAGGTAATCTCTAACAGGAAAACCGTCTCCGGAAAGTCATCTGTTAGTGATTTAGAGATTAATAGTAATAAAATTACATCAGATAACAAATGCAGTGATGCTGGTTTGGGAACCTCCATAACTCAGTTACCCTTTAGTCAAGGAAAATCAAATGCTGAACAAGGCACGAGTGCTAGTTCTTTAGCACACAACACAAACTTGGAACAAAACCAGTCAACATCCCACCATGTTGATGACAGTAGTAATACATCCCATAACAAGGAATGCCACATACAGAGTAATGGAAAAACCTCTGTTGTTAAAGCCAGCTGGAATTCCATTCCGCCTGACCTGGACTCTTCCAACTGTAGCTCTAAACCAGAGAAATTAGTTTTGGAGAATGGAGTAAAGCAGATCCATATACTATCAGACGCTATCAATGTTGCTGATGTTGAAAGTGGTCATGACAAGCACTTTCGGAGGAAGAGGAAAAGGCGGCATACCCTACCAGATGAAACCATTGTAGTTAGTTCAGATACTTCAACACCAACAAAGTATTATCCAATAACAAAAATCAGGAAAAAAATGGGCTCACCATTACCTCCATTGCTTGCCCCTCTTTTGGCTACACCGCCAAGAACTGTTCAGCCCCTTTCCCCAAGAATTCCATTGTCTCGCCAGTCCTTGACATCCTCATTGGATGAACTTGGTTCTTCTTCACGTCAGAGTCCAATTCCTGCAGTTGAATTGTCACCACAGCCAGATACCCTGAAGTGCAACTCTCCTGCCCTACTGACAACGCCATCTCCATTTGAAATGCCAGTAGGTCAGAGGATTCTGTCTTCTCCTCTTCAGTTTTGTGCCACCACTCCCAAACATGCACTTCCTGTGCCAGGCCGGTTTCCACCTTCTGCATCTGTTGTTGCTACTCCACCTGTGCCTCAGGAGAACTCAGTGAAAATTCTGGACAGTATGTATCCAGAGCTATCTGCTCGAGCACGAACTCTCAGCATTCTGAAAGGTATTCAACCTGGTAGGTCATCTTCTGTAGATGGCAAGAATATCCCACAACCTATCCATCAAATCAGTGGGTTTAAAGAAATTGCTTCCACATCCACTGCTTTTGTGAAAGCAGGGACTAAATTCACATCTGACCCAGAGCAGCCATTCTGCAAGATAGGTGAGGCTGGTAAACGTACACTGTCACCTACAGTTGTGCTGAAGAATGCCAAAAGGCTAAGACTGGATAGCAAGTCATCAGATTTGGAGCTTGAGAAGAAACAGCTTTCAGATAGAGTTTCAGATGCTGAATGTCCTACCAATGAAACTGATGACTCAACCTGTGGAGATGGTATTCAGTCAACTGGTGGCTGTGATTCAAAATTTATTTTGGCAGTGGAGAAAATAGATGATCCAGATAGTAGGGCTGTGACTGTAGCATTGGAGAAAATTTCTGAAGCCTGTTTTGACCTGTTGCCTGTTATTCATAGCCATGTTTTTGTGGGCAATACCTCGAGGGTCCCAGTTATGAGAGATGAAGAGAAAGAAGTGGTCCATGAGCTTTGTGTCACCAAAAAGGTCGGTTGTGTTGTGTTTCAATATTTTTTATTTGTTTAAAACTATGCATAGAAATGTTAAGCATAGAACTTTCTAGAATAATGCTTAAGATCATCGTGAGTTTAGACAAAACATTCCATTTCCCTTCTGGGTTGCAACATGCAATTCTTGCATTGGCATGTAATTATTTCTAAGACAAATTAGTTTGTACTGTTGATTTTTAATTCACTTCCAATTAATGACATGTAACTGGGTCAGGGAAATGATTTTCAGTTTTTCATAGATAGTAATCAGGGGCATTGTAGAGTTGTTTGTAACACAGTGTTCTTAAGCTCTGACCAGTTTTCTAAATTTATTGTAATTTTCTTGCCCCTTCCATCTCATCCTTTGGATCCCATCACAAGAGGAAGGCAAAGTATAGATTAAATAAATAAGCAAAACTACATCTGAACACCAGATCTTTTGTATAAATAGATACAGGATAGGGGAAAATGTGCTCATCGTTGTAAGTCTACAGCTTGCTGTTTTATAAAAGGAAAAAGTGAGCTCTTGCTGAGGTTTTGTTGAAGGATCTGCCATGGATAACAAAATCCATGCACGCTCAACTTTCATTATATACAGTGGCACAGTAACATTGTGTATCTTTTTTTTCAATATTTTTATTAGGATTTTTTTTTAACATACAGTAAAAGATGGGGAACGATCGGGTGTATAGGAAAGTAGGAAGTGGTGAGCGGTGAGCGCAGGGTGAGAGGAATGAATCTTGCTGGGAGGGTGACCGTGAGGGGCTGACTCTAATACTCATATTCTCCTGGACTTGATAATCTTTATATTTTTTGAGTTTTCACAAGTCTCGGCCCAGCCTTTTAATTGCTTTGAACAGGCAGGATTATTTTTAATATATATGTGTTATTGTGATAATTTTGTTTTGTTAATTTTATGTCATGCTGTTTACTCTGTGATGTTACTTGATAACCGCCATGGTTCCCCTTCGGGGAGATAGAGCAGTATATAAATAAAGTTTGTTAATTTATTTATAGTAAATAAATAAAGTTTGTTTATTTATTTATAGTAAATAAATAAATTCTCTGGTAAGAAGTCATGTGAGTGAATCTCTTTCACTCACTGGAGTTTTCTTTCCTCCAACATAATATAAGGAGAGCGTTTTCTAAAGTTGGAAATCAACTGGTTTAAGACTGTATTCAGAATTGTTGTGATAACTACTCTTTATAAGCTACTATGGTACAACTGGGCACACAGTGCAGGGGTTAAGCAACTGACTTTTCAAATGTTTGGGGGCTGCAACTCTCTTTCATCATTCTAACTAGGGTAGGTGGAGTTGTAGGCCAATTGACTTATGTTGAGTGATATCATTTAGCCATTCAGTTCTTTCTTTTCTGATAAGCAGTCTACCCAAGGTGCCAAACAAAGATCTTGAACCTTATGCCCACATTGCTTATTCTCTTCCATTGTGTTGTTGCCATCCTCAAAACCAACTTCACATCCGTACATGTCTCCCCATGCAAAGCAAGTGAACATAGCATTGAATGAAACATGCAGAATAATCAKAGGATGTCTTAAACCTACACCTGTTGATYAACTCTACAAGCTAGCTGGCATTGCTCCTCCTGATGTGCGACGGGAAGTTGCTGCTAAATGTGAGAGAAATATGGTTGAACACTGTGAAAGCCATCCACTGTATGGCTACCAYCCTCCTCCCAGTAGACTCAAATCAAGGAAAAGATTTATGAGAACTACCACTCCTCTTGGCGTCCCCCCAGCAACAGCAAGGGTATCCCTCTGGGCAGCTAGACCAGGAAATCCCAACTGGATGGCCCCCCACGAGGGTCTTCTTCTGGGGACAAACCAAGAATGGGCAACTTGAAAGTCCCTGAACAGATTCAGAAGTGGAGAGGGCAGATTAAAAGACAACCTGGCAAAATGGCACTACCTAAAAGAATCCCACACCTCGTGTGACTGTGGAGCAGAACAGACAACTCCCCATCTGTATGCTTGTCCACTATGCCCTGCCTTGTGTACAGAGGAAGAACTGTTGGATGCTACAGACAATGCCATTGCTGTTGCCCGTTTTTGGTCAAAAGATATTTAGCCACCTTCTATTTTTATTGGTTTTATACTAATTTATGCAATGCTTTTGGTACGAAATAAATAAACATCCATGCATATACACAGTAGAGATTGCATCATGCTTTGAATGATATAAGCCAGCAAGTAACGTGACAGAGGTCACTGAGGCCCTCAGGGAGGTTCATTGGGTTTCCTCCTATGATGGCTTTGGATGTCTGAGTTTTATTCATTTGAGCATTTTTATTCTTGTATCGTCCATGATGTTTCCTTTTCATTTGCTTTATGGAGTTTTGTTTCTCAAGCAATATATTTTAAAACCTTGCAACATGCTTCCAGTCGCACACAGTCTTGAGTGCACTTTTAGGAAACCTGATGTGCCCTTTTCAAAATATTAGTCATAACATGTGCTTTCAGAGAGCAATTCTTCGGTTGTCTGCATTTTTATAAATTGTTAGCTCTGAAGGGCAGCAGTATACGACTTCATTGCATTAAAATATATGACATTTGTTGAAACGTCTTCCACAACAAATATTGTTCTGCCTGTTACAGAAATTAGCTGAGCCAGCATTGCAAGCTATCTTGAATAAGCTAAAGCACGAAAAGAGGTCCTTGAGCCACAATTGTATCCAGGCCCTCTGCAGGGTGTATGTTGGGATATGCCGACAGCTAGGAGATCTTGAAAGAGCACGCCTGTTTTGCTACAGCCTCCTTAAGGAAGGTATGGTATGTTTTAAATCCTCTTATGGTTGAAAGTGTTTTACAACTCATGCTCCAACTGAGTCTTTCATGAACATGCACTGCTGCACTCTAAAGTCTATTGATTTGGGCTGTCAGATAACTGAAGAGTTCCCAGCCTTGTCATATGTATTTCAGGCCAAAACAGCATTATAATACTATATTTGAGGAGTAGCACAAGTGCATTGCTATTCAAACACAGCAAATTCCAGCTTTCATGGGAATGGTTAATAGAGTAAGGGTGAAGGTTATGGGTTTTTTGTTTTGTTTTGTTTGTTTGTTTTGGATAGAGGTTCTACAGAATACGGATCTCATACAGGAGATGCTCAACTCATTTCCAACATATGGCAACCCTAAAGCTAAGGGTTTCACGATCTCTTTGTTCGTCTGGTGAGGCCCTGCTCACGATTCCACCGGCATCGCAAGCGCGATTGGTGGGAACAAGGGACAGGGCCTTCTCGGTGGTGGCCCCATGACTCTGGAACTCCCTCCCCAAGGACATCAGGCACTCCCCAACACTGGCAGTCTTCAGAAGGAGCTTGAAAACATGGATGTTCCAGTGTGCCTTCCCAGATTAAGGAATCCCAAGCAATGTCCCTAATGCACTTTATGAGAGAGCTAGAATTGTCTGCACACCCTTCTGTTCCCAAAATATCCATCCTACCTCACCTGGACATTCCCAGCATTTTTAGAATTTTAACCATTACATTTGGCCCTGCTACAGGTTTTTTTTAACAGTGTCGTGTTTTTGTTATTATTCTGCTTTGTTATGAGTTATTTATTATTGCATTGTATTGTTGTTGTATTTTTGCTAATGATGTACTTTGGGCTCGGCCTCTTGTAAGCCGCACCGAGTCCTGTGGGAGATGGTAGCGGGGTACAAATAAAGCTTTATTATATTATTATTATTATTATTAATATTATTATTCCTAGGCCAGAATTGTTCAAAGGGGGGATTCAAAGCCTAATCTCCAGAGTTGTATCCTAGTGCTCACATCACAGGGTACCTGATTCAAGTTTAGGGGTTATCTTGGTTGTGGAGAAGTTGCTCATACATCTTTTCTATTGCAGTGATCCATTGTCTGGATGCTGCTAAGGAACTATCCACAATCAAATGGATTAGTCCCCTGCATCAGAAGCAGGAGGCTAGAGGGTTGATTTTTTTTTTTTTTAGTTACAGTATGTCTGTTGACTGTAGCCAGGAAATCAGAAGATGCTTACTTCTTGGGAGGAGAGCAATGTCCAGTCTCGATAAAATAGTAAAGAGTAGAGACATCAGACTGGCAACAAAGATCCGCCTAGTCAAAGCCATGGTATTCCCTGTAGTAACCTACGGATGTGAGAGCTGGACCTTAGGGAAGGCTGAGCGAAGGAAGATCGATGCTTTTGAGCTGTGGTGCTGGAGGAAAGTTCTGAGAGTGCCTTGGACTGCGAGAAGATCCAACCAGTCCATCCTCCAGGAAATAAAGCCCGACTGCTCACTGGAGGGAAAGATACTAGAGACAAAGTTGAAGTACTTTGGCCACATCATGAGGAGACAGGAAAGCCTAGAGAAGACAATTGTGCTGGAATAAACAAGGAAAGGAAGAGGGGCCGACCAAGGGCAAGATGGATGGATGGCATCCTTGAAGTGACTGGACTGACCTTGAGGGAGCTGGGGGTGGTAACGGCCGACAGGGAGCTCTGGCGTAGGCTGGTCCATGAGGTCACGAAGAGTCGGAGACGACTGAACGAATGATCAACAACAATGTCTGTTGACTCTTCTCTCGCTCCTTCAGTTGTTTTTATTCTGTCTTGGCAACTTGGCAATGTTTTGGTATCTCTCCCTTCACTCCAAAGCTCTATTGGTGATCAGTTAATACATTCTCCATATTCCTTTTTGTTCAGATCTTCTTCTGCTTCTAATAATGATTTCTTTCTTCCCTCTTCCTATTCACACCATTGCTGTTTTTTTAAAAAAAACCCTAAAATCACATTTTTTAAATTTTGCTGAAAGATGAGAATTCTACTTTTTCTGAAGTCCATACATTGAAATATTGTTTTTTGACACATAGAATATTCTTACTATGATTACCATACATGAGGCATACAAGAGGTAATTTCAGCTAGTGTAAAACAATGGATAAGTTACTGATCAGGTTAATTTGTTTCTAAAGTGATGGATTATTAAAAATCAGACAATAATTGTTTTATAGTTGTTTAACATATACATGAAGCCGTTGGGAGAGATCATCCGGAGTTTTGGGTGCGATGTCATCTGTACATAGATGATGTCCAACTCTATCACTCTTTTCCACCTGTCACTAAGGAGGCTGTTCAGGTCATGAACCGGTGCTTGGCCGCTGTCACGGACTGGATAAGGGACAACAGATTGAAACTAAATCCAGACAAGACAGAGGTACTCCTGGTCAGTCGTAAGACCGAACAGGGTACGGGGTTACAGCCTGTGCTGGACGGGGTCACACTCCCCGTAAAAGCACAGGTACGCAGTCTGGGAGTTCTCCTGGATTCATCGCTGAGCCTGGAAACCCAGGTTTCAGCGGTGGTCAGGGGAGCATTCGCACAATTAAAACTTGTGCGCCAGCTGCATCCATACCTTGGGAGGGCTGACTTGGCCACGGTAGTACACGCTTTGGTTACATCCCGCTTAGACTACTGCAATGCTCTCTACATGGGATTGCCTCTGAAGACTGCCCGGAAGCTGCAGCAAGTACAACGCGCGGCAGCCAGATTACTAATGGGTGCGGGGTACAGGGAGCACACCACTCCGCTGTTACTCGAACTCCACTGGCTACTGATTAGCTTCCGAGCACAATTCAAAGTGCTGGTGGTAACCTATAAAGCCCTAAACGACTCCGGCCCTGTTTACCTCTCCGAGCGTATTCTCCTCTACGAACCATCAAGACCAGTAAGATCGTCTGGAGGGGCCCTGCTCTCGGTCCCTCCGCCTGCACAAGCACAGCTGGTGGGGACGAGGGACAGGGCCTTCTCGATGGTGGCCCCTCGACTTTGGAACTCCCTGCCATTAGAGATCAGAACTGCCCCCTCCCTCATGACGTTCAGGAAACTAACAAAGACCTAGTTGTGGAACGCGGCATCTGACAACTGATTTAATTCTTTGCCCACATGAAAGGAGGATGATGAATGGGATTGTGATGTGTCGGACGATTTGGCTCTTTTAACTGGGATGATAATGTTTTAATGTGTATGGTGCTGATATTTTAATCATGTAATGAAGTGGCATTGTGTTGTTATTGTATATTTTTTTGTATGTTAACACGTGTTGTGAACTGGTCCGAATCCCTCTTTGAAGGTGAGAGGGTCGGTATATAAAACCTCGAAATAAATAATAAATAAATAATAGTACTAGAGAAAGGCATGGCACATCTAAACCCTGAACTAGGAGCACTTTTGTTATGGAGTGAAGACAAGCTGTAACATGTTGATATCCAGCTTGTACTTTGTATAAATATCTAGTTGTGAAAAGTTTTTGTGTCTTTTTTGCATATTCATTGTTTCAATCTATATTTTTCCATTCCAGATTTTCCCAAATCTGCTAGGCTTACTTTGTTTATTGCAAACATGTGGACAGATGTATTCTCCTATGAAGGGGTGATCAGCAAAGCAATCCAGTTAGTAGCCAGACATCGTGCGAGAGGGAACGTGCTCAAATGTCTGAGTTTCTATCTGAAATGGAAAGAGGTATGAGAACTATATTTTGTATGTAGTGATAACCGTCAGTTTTGGATAATACTGTTTTGTAGCAGAATAGAATCCTTTTGTTTTCAATTAACTAAGGGATAAGAAAAAAAAACGCTGGACATATTCACTGGAGTATTTCTTAATCAAATGCTGCTTTCATTTCATCCATTATGAAGTAGGAGACTTTCTCCCCTAAATTTGACCTACAGATTTCACATTTAGGAACAACAATGCAGATGCTACTGGGCCTGAAATGAAACCGAGCAGGTCATATTACCAGTATACACAAATAAAACAAATCCTGGAATCTCACATTTTTTCCATCATAATTACTTGTTGCAACAGTTTATAGTAGTTAAAATTAGTATAATGCTATTACTATTTTTTGTTAATATGAAAAATGTATTAATATAATTTGTTGAATGTTTGAGTTGTTATCTGCCTGAATGTGCTTCAGACACTAATGGGATGCCAAGTATGATTTAAAGTAGGTCTCTACATTTTAATGTTGTTTATTTGTTTAGAGTGCACCAGTGGATATTGGTATGATGGTCTCCAGCTTGATTTTGGCAATACAGTTATGCCCACAAATGAAATTTCAGTTTAGTGAAGAATATGGAGAAGACCTGAAAGAGAGTACATGGGAATATGTGTTCGCTATCGATCTCCTGTGTTCACATCAAAAGTGGTGTTGGACCCATGACAATATCATCAGGTATTTTTTATATCAGTATGTCTTCTCCTTCCTGCCCAGCATTTCCAGCAAGTTCAGTACAGATGTATTACATGTTTGAAAATGTCATGTTGTTTTCAAGCTACACTCAATGCAAACCTTTGTGACTTGTAATTCTGACAGGTATAGTAGAAACTTGCCAGGAAAAAAAAAAACCTGAGTAAATGTTGGAGTCGATCAGTGTTAATTGTTGGTAGCATGAAGGGGCTCTCCCCACCTAAAAAGAAGTCTGGTTGCTGAATGTCTGCCACATACACATCTTATTTTTATGCTTGCATTTCCATGTTTGTTAATAAGATCAATTACTGTGATACCTTGAGTTAAGAGTTTAATTCATTCCGTGACTGAGCTCCTGACTCAGATTGCTCTTATCTCAAAGCGAATGTTCCCATTGAAATGCTATTAATCCATTCTGGGGGTCCAACAAACCCCCCCCCCCCCCATTTTTCTTACGTGTTTTAAAATGAGAGAATGTACTTTAGAAATAACAATGTATACAGGCACATTTACATAGAACAGTAAAAAAGAAAGATCAAGTTTAAAATGGTAGAGGCATGAAGTTGTGGCAAGGAAGCACAAAGTGAAGAGGCAGAAGCATCATTTTGTTCATATTATACTCATTCCAGCCTCCCTCCCTCTCTCTCGTCATGAAGCCAAACATACCAGGAATAAAAACCACACAAAATCAACTAACTCAAAGTTCCTCAAAACAGACAAGAGCAAAAAGAACAGCAATCTCCCAAAGCAGACAAGAGAACAAGGCAGTGAATACCTAAAGCAGGGGTCCACAAACTTTTTAAACAGAGGGCCAGATCACAGTCCCTCAAACTGTTGGCGGGCCAGATTATAATTCGAAAAAAATACGAATGAATTCCTATGCACACTGCACATATCCTATTTATAGTGTAAAAACATTTTAAAAAACAATACAATGATTAAAATTAAGAATAATTTTAACAAATATAAACTTATGAGTATTTCAATGGAAAGTGTGGGCCTGCTTTTGGCTGATGAGATAGGATTGTTGTTATTGTGTGCTTTCAAGTAGCTTCATACTTAGGTTGACCCTTAGCGAGGGCAGGGTAAATGACCTTGGAGGGGCGCATCCGGGCCCTAGTTTGAGGACCCCTGACCTAAAGCTTTGTACTCTTGTGCTAGTGCTCTCTGATGCTAGCTCTTAACCCAGAATGCTGCTCTTATGTCAAAGCGAAACCTAGGCTGATCTATGGCTCTTAAGTTAGGATGCTCTTAAGTCGAGGTCCCACTATATTAAAATATTAAAGTTGAAATTGCTATTTAGATCAGCAACATCATTTAAATCGTCTCTTTATATTTAAATAAAATATAATACTGATTCCCTTTTTTGAATCTCACCTAAAAATAACAGTTAAATTATTATTATTATTAATAATAATAATAATAATAATAATAATAATAATAATAAATGGGGACTTAAGGTGGCTAACAATAACATAACATAACCCAATAAATTTAAAAACATGGCAAATACACAAATTAAAAACAATTAAATATTGGGTTGCTGTGAGTTTTCCATGCTGTATGGCCATATTCAAGAAGCATTCTCTCCTGATGTTTCACCCACATCTATGGCAGGCATCCTCAGAGGTTGTGAGGTTTGTTGGAAACTAGGTTAGTGTGGTTTATATAGCCGTGGAATGTCCAGGGGGGAGAAAGAACTCTTGTCTGTTTGAGGCAAGTGTGAATGTTGCAGCTGGCCACCTTGATTAGCGTTTAATGACCTTGCAGCTTCAAAACGTGGCGTGATTTCTGCCTGGGGAAATCCTTAAATATTTTTGTCACAAATCCAAGTTAAAATACAATTAAGATATAATTGTAACACACGTGCAATTAAAATTACATTTAAAACTAAATATCCTCCCCAAACCCCTCCCACAACCTCCCCAGCAGCATCTTCCCCCAAATATCTGATGGCAAATAGACATCTTAGCATGTAAAGAAACAGATGTCCCTGACACATCAATAGCAAAACACATGGGATTAAAGCAGTGGTTCTCAACCTACTTAATTCTGTGACCCCTTAATATAGTTCCTCATGTTGTGGTGACCCTCAACCATAAAATTATTTTTGTTGCTACTTCATAACTAATTTTGTTACTTTTGTGAATCGTAATGTAAATATCTGATATGCAGGGTGTATTTTCATTCACTGGACCAAATTTGGCACAAATACCTGATATGCCCAAATTGTATTACTGGTGGGATTGAGGGAATTGATTTTGTCATTTGGGAGTTATAGTTGCTGGGATTTATAGTTAACCTGCAACCAAAAAGCATTCTGAAGTCTACCAATGAAACCAAACTTGGCACACAGAATTCCCACAACCAACAAAATATACTAGAAGGGTTTTGAGGGCATTGACCTTGAGTTTTGAAGTTGTAGTTCACCTACATCCAGAGAGCACTGTGGACTCAATAAATGATGGATCTGGACTTGGTACAGATACTCAATATGCCCAAATATGAACACTGATGGAGTTTGGAGAAAATAGACATTGACATTTGGGAGTTGTAGTTGCTGGGATTTGTAGTTCAGCTAAAATCAAAGAACATTCTGAATCCCACCAGTGATAGAATTGGGCCAAACTTCCCACACAAAACCCCTATAACCAACAGAAAATACCATGTTTTCTGATGGTCTTCAGCGACCCCTCTGACACCCCCTCATGACCCCCCCCCAGGGGTCCCGACCCCCAGGTTGAGAAACACTGGATTAAAGGATTAGAAGCTATTCTTCTTTTATTGGGAAAGGTTTATGTTATGAGTGACATATTAAAGCAAGTCTTGCTCCTCTAGTTAAATTTGTTTGTTCTTGCCCACAAACTTCTGGTTTCAGTTGGAGTATGACATGGCTGCCATCAGACATACTAGTTTTAAATAAGGGCTCACTGTTCACTTCCATCCACAGCAAAGAACTCTGGCCTATCATGGACAAGTGGGTAAAGAACAGAAAGGGCGCTGGAAGTGCTTCCTCTTCTTCTGACATCATTGTAGCTACAGTGCTCAGGCTGATCGGTGAGTATTTAGTAATTTTCTTTACCTATTTATTAGGAATAGGATATCTCCCAGTTAGTTCACATCCATTGAACTGTTGACAGGAAACAGGAAAAGTTACTAGTTTGAGGAGATACCGCTTTTAGGCTGAGTCTATGAAGAATAACTGGGTAGAGTTGTTCTTCTCCCAGAATGTGCAGATAGTACTGTTGGATACATAATCTCTGCACTACCCAGGCAAAACAAAATGGCAATTCATCCTTCTATAGCAGTAGTTCCCAACCTTTTTTTTGACCAGGGACTACTCTTCAACATTAGTATCAAAAGAGCTACAAATCAGTTTTTGGTCGACTTTAGATTTGGTTTGATTATTTGGGGTGCTGATTCAGAAAAGTGCATTGATAGACCACATCAGCTCTATAGTTTCTGATCCAGAACATATGTCATTCAGTAGACTCCATCTTCTCACCCACAGAAAACCATAGTACTATAAGAGGCTTTTGTGAGACCAGTTGCTCTTGTTGAGGCCACAGACCATATTTTAGTTCTTGCAGACAACTGGTGGTCCATGGACCACAGTTTGGGAATCACTGTTCTATAGCAATTATGGCAATTTCCATGAAATTTAAAACCACATCAATAACGGTTCTGGCCCTACATACCTGTCCGAACACATCTCCCCTTATGAACCATCTAGGATGTTAAGGTCGTCTGGGGAGGCCCTGCTCTCAACTCCGTCTGCCCATCAGCTATGGAGCGCCCTTCCTAGGGACATTAAATCAGCTCCCTCCCTTTTGATTTTCCAAAGAAAAGTCAAAACCTGGCTGTTCAAGCTGGCGTTTGAAAAGGCAGTGTAGCAGACATTGGATTATGGAACAATTGGATTATGAGTTTGGATGAAGTTTTTATTTAGGAGATGAAATGACTTGGTTTTTTTAATTATTGTAATGGTCTTAATTGATATGTTATTGCTTCTTAAATGTTTTTATAATGTTGTTGGCATTGAATTGTTGCCTTGTGGACTGCCCCGAGTCGCCTGCGGGCTGAGAGGGACGATATACAAATGTAGCAAATAAATAAATATATATATAAATATATAAATAAGAGAGAGGCAGAAGTGAAATAGAACATGCCAGGCCGGGTTGCTCTCCAGCAAATCATATAGCAGCAAAGATTCTTATTTCTGGGACAGAGAGCTAAACTGAAATAATATAGAATCATAAAGTTGGAAGAGACCTCAAGGACCATCCAGTCTAACCCTCTGCCATGCAGGAAAAGCACAATCAAAGCACCCTCAACAGATGGCCATCCAACCTCTGCTAAAAAGTCTCCAAAGAACTTTCACCACACTCTGAGGCAGGAAATTCCACTGTTGAACAGCTCTTATGGCTGTTCTTCCAAATGTTAAGGTGGAATCTCATTTCCTGTCATTTGAACCCATTGCTCCAAGTCCTAGTTTCCAGAGCAGCAGAAAACAACCCTGCTCCCTCTTCCTTATGACACCCCGTTCAAATACTTAAACATGGCAGTCATGACTCCTCTCAACTTTTTCTTCAAGTTAGATCTTGAAGAAAAGGTTGATAGGAGTCATGATTTCCATGTTTAAATATGAACGCTTATGTATAGAGAAGATTCAACATGATTATCCCTACGTTCTTCAATATGCATAAGCACTCACCCCTTTTAACAAGTAAATGGCAGAGAAGGGATTCAACTTAGCTTGACTCTGACATCTATTTTATTTTGGGAAGGAAATGTTTATTCTTTGTGTGAAAGAACACTAGAGGGCATGATCTGCCAGAACTGTCGTATGAAATAGTACTATTGGAACTCAACCACATCCTTGCACAAGTTTGTAGTCCTCATCAAGGAATTAGAGAGGCCAATGAGTTAGCTGACAGGGAAAAGCTCTTCCCCGATTGGTCTTTCTGTCTGCCTGTCTTCCTTTCTTTCCTCCTATCCCCTTGCTTGTTAAACAGATATTTCTTTGGGACATTCCCATTTCTATATAAACTGTCTGAGCACATGGCAAGACTCAGTCATTTATTTTGTTCTTTTCCTGTGAGTGTGGAGAAAAAGATCAGATGCCTGCTGTGAAATTAGTTGGATAGCTAGGCTGTATTAGCTTTATTATCTAAATAGGTAGTTCTTTGAATAAAGTCTTCTATACCTTGGGTTTTTTTTTTTCACTTTTTTACCATCAGTAAAACTTTATTATATTTCCATTCTTTGCCATTAACAGAAAAATTGGAGAAAACAGTGTTTGTTTTACAAAGATAATGCATCTCCCAGAGAAGAAAAACCCTAAATTGAGAATAGAGGTAACATGGGAAAAAACACAGTACTGCCCTCTATTCAAAGAAAATAACTCCTGATCTTTTTTGGTTAAAATAATACTTAGACCAATCATTCAGTTTGCTTGCTTGATAAAGTGTGGCTGAAGGAGGAGAGGGGAGGGGAAGGGGCCTGGAGGGAGAGAAAAAAAGCACACAGACATCAACTATTTCACCTTGATGAAAAGTCTCAATACAGCTATGGATACTTAGGAATTCTTTTACAGTACACTGGGTGCTGGCTGCAAAAGAAAAAAAAACTTCAGGCACAATTTTTGATTTTTTTTAATCAGTAAAATAAACTGGGTTTAGAAGCTGCAGTGTTCTAAGCAGCAGCAAATTTGTGCATTATTGTAAATATCTTTAAGTTATCACACTGATGGCACATGTTGGGGTTCAGCCTGAGTGTGAACTTGAATCTGACTCTCTCATTGTATTTCCTGATGCCCATGTGAATTCTGAGGCCAATTTAGATGTGGATGGTTTGAGTAGTGAAAATCCCACAGCCTTGGAAAGTGAAAGTCAAAATTCCCCAGAGAACTTACATTCCGAGCCAAGCGGAGACGGTTCACTCCCTTTTCCTCCCAGTTTTAGCTCTCCAGAGAATCAGGCACCTGATCTGGCTAATGAGGATAGGCGGGGGCAGATTTGGCAGAGTCGTGGAGAAGCTCAATGTTTACGCAGGTCAGCCAGATTGAAAAAAATCCAAACAAAATCTTCAGGCGTGTCTCGCAATAGATTTCTTGGCCTTAAATATGATTGCTGTGAATACAGCTTCAGACCAGGCATTGTTCCAGTTTCATGTGCCAGCGTTTGCAGGTCTCCGGATTCCTGTGACTTTGTTCCTTGGAGATTTTCTAGTTGCCTCAAGTACGGTTAGTGGATTTGCTAACAGGTTCCAGGATTCAGCAGTTTGCTGTGGGTTTCATGGTCTTGTTTATGGACATTTCTTGTTGCTGATTTTTGTGGTGACTTTTTACTTTTGAATTTTTTCCTCTATTTTGTATTCATCTTTCATCAATAAAAAAGGATTGTTTTCCTGAAGCCAAGTGTGCTGAATTGTTGTCTGAGGGTCCAGTTTCCTGCTCTGGGTTGCAACAGCACACCTCATCCTCATGTAATTCTGCACTGTGCATGCTAATTGCAGATAATTACAAAAACTATAAGTCTACTCTGGAAGATAGCTTCAATGAGATCTAGGAGATAAACTTTGCTTGCTATATGGACTTGAGTCTAAATGAGACTTCTGTACCTTGTTAAGCTTGACTCTTCCCCTGAATTACTTAAACTCAATCACTCTACTGCTGGCATTAAAAGCTTCTGATCTGCTGAACTGCTGCTACTGCTATTGTAGTTGATTTACATTTTTTCCTTTTTGGAAAATACCCACCAACAAATAGTGCTCAGAAACAGTCCAGCTCAGTGAGAACCAGGCTATAATCCGCACCTCTTTCTGTCCACAGGTCACCTTGGCCAAATAGGGTTGAGAGAAGGTTTTTCTTCTGCTGTGGAAAATATCAGTTCTGTTATTGGAGTCTTTCTCCAGCATGCCAAAGAAAAAGGTAATATCCTATTGCTTTGTTATTTTAATAGGTTAAAAATGATAAAATGTTCTGCAGGGCAGTGAAGCTGCCACCAGTATGATCTCATGCAAACAAGCTTCTGTGCGGGTAGACATGAAAGATGAGTTTGGCCTGGAACCAAACCTGTTAGATGTGTGCTCCAGGGGGCTAGAATAAATTACGGCATTCAGCCGACCATGGTAATATCTTAAATGGCCTTGATCAAGGGCACTAGTGACTGTTTTCTTTACAACCTTTGCAGATGTGGCTTGGGGTGTCCAGTTGGCAGCAGCATATGCACTCTGTGACCTGGGTCCTAGCAATCCATCTAAAATCCTAGAGGCCATACACACCTGGGAAGCTATGAACACCAACAGCCTTCCCCCTGCTCTTGCTAATGCCATCGCCGAACTCGGCCGCCTTGCCAGTGTGCGTAGGGAGAACGGAGGAATCTCATCAACATAACAGAACCACATGAGAAGAAGGCGAGGAAATGAGTTTGAAACAGAAATGTTGCAAAAAGAAGCAGGACAAACCTTTCTTCTGAAAAACAACATGGAGCATTGGTTCGTGTAAGGTTGTCATGAAATCAGCTTTGTTCAATGTCATCTGTGGCCTTTGTGTTGCAGCCGAAACAATCAGCCATTGTGTTGCTGCTGTTTTTGCTCTAAGAGACAATACATTGTCTCAATGATCAAGTGCTAGTTCTAAATCAGAAAAAAATGTTCTCCTTTATGTAGCTAGAAGTGTCTTCTTGAAAGTGGTATTCCAGAATGTAATTGTCTAGTTCGTGATATTCTTAGTCTCTTCTTACTTTTGCCAAATGCTCTTAAAATCTGTTTCTATTGCAAACAACTTTGAAATGTCGCATTTTAACAACGTTCTTTTGCTTGACAATCTATTAACAACTGAAACCTACTAATTTATTTCAGAGAGCTAAAGATTGCTCATGATGTATACTTGGATCACTCACTAAGTAGGTTTTATAGGCTTACAAAATCTTACAAGCCTTCGTACCAGAGACAGAAACACGGCCATAGAGTTACATGTTTACTATGGAAAGTGATGCAGGTCTGAAATATCTTTTTTAAAGATGAGCCTGACTCCATTGTTAAGTTGGTCATGTGTCATGATGGAAAATACCAAATTGTTTCGATCACATCTTATTGATTTCAGTCATTTAATGGAAGAAAAATCTGATTACTGACTCTCTCATCTACAGTTTGGTAGGGAGGGAGATATAGGGCAAGTGGAAACATATTTGTGCCCCCTCCCCAAGCCTACAGGTTCTTTGTTTTTTTTTAAAAAAAAATGTACAAAGTGTGTCTTTTTCAATAACCAGAAGTGATCTTCTGCTCATTTTGATGTCATGTGTCTTCAGGGTGGAGGACCCCAAAGCTGGATCTACAGTATATAGAAGATTGGAGGAGTCTTCTCTGTGAGAATGTCTGTGTATGATAATATTTGTATAATGTGTTTCACATTTAATGTTGTTCCACTTGGGAAATTTTATTAACTGTATATAGAAACTGGTGTAAAGAGAGAAAGAAATATTTTGCATTGTTTTAAAATTTTGATGTAAGTTAATGTGTTTCAAATTTTTGTACACACACTTATATATATATAAATGTTTTTTATTATAAATGTTTGTGTATTTAATAGCTATATATTTCACCAGCAAGCTGACGCTAACGTGGCACATCCAAATGTAATTAAAATTATTTCTGTGATTATTTGTTCTCAATTTTTCTTTCTTATAATATCCAAGACTGAAAAGCTGTTATCAGTAAGCAGAACCTTTACGTCTGGAATAATAATAATAATAATAATAATAATAATAATAATAATAATAAACCTTTATTTATACCCCACTAACATCTCCCGAAGGACTCGGTGCGGCTTACAAGAGGCCAAGGCCCAACACATCAGTAAAACAATAGCATAACAAATACAACAATAAATAAACTCAAAAAACAAGCAAAAAACATTTTAAAAAATAGGAATAAACATTAGACAATAACACCATGACACATTTAAAACTAAGGCCGGGCCAAATGTAATGATTAAAATTTTAAAATGCTGAACATGACAGGTGAGATGGATAGGTTTTTGGAGATAGTGCGATGTGCAGACAATCTTAATCTCTAGTAAACTGCAATTGGGACATGATGTTATTAGTTTCCTATTCTGGGAATACTCACAGTTTCATCCCTGTATAGTTCATCTATCATCTATCTTGAGTTGTTTCGAGGACTTGTGAGGTCTAAACATCTCGGAGCTTGTCCTAGTCCATCTCCCCCCCCCCCCCCCTCAATTTGCAGAGAAGTTCAAAATTGAAGAAAATTCCCAGGTAGACTAAAACAGCAGAGATATATCCTTAAAACTCCTCCTATCATGCAGGTGCCATCTTAACTCCTCTTTCCCATAATATACATAGTCATAGAATGATAGAGTTGGAAGAGACCACAAGGGCGATCCAGTTCAACCCCCTGCCATGCAGGAACACTCTTGACAGATGGCCATCCAGCCTCTGCTTAAAAATCTCCAGAGGAGGAGACTCCACCACGCCCTCTGGCAGTATATTTAACCATCAAACAGCTCTTACTGAATATTTATTTGTAGATATTTGTTCAGTAATGACCATTTGAGGTTTAGACTTTAATAACAAAAGAAAATGGTCTCTGCCAGGCAGAGCCATGGTACCAAGAACATGAAATGTAAGACATTAAACATCTGGCATGCGTCTTAAAATGACTTCTGTAATACAGTTCTGAATAGACCACTTTCAAGGGAATGGGGAGGTTGGATTCGTGCAATATTGATATTTAACAGTAATAAAAATAATAAAATTAATGAGTTTGCCTGATGCAAATAGACAAACCAGCTGATCCCCAACCCATCTAAAACACAGACATGTGCCTTTCATCTCAAGAACAGAGAAGCATCCCGAGCTCTGAAGATCACCTGGGAAGGAATCCCACTGGAGCATTGCAGCACCCAAATACCTGGGAGTCACTCTGGACCGTGCTCTTACCTACAAGAAGCACTGCCTGAACATCAAGAAAAAAAGTGGGTGCTAGAAACAATATCATAAGAAAGCTGACTGGCACAACCTGGGGATCACAACCAGACACAGTGAAGACATCTGCCCTTGCGCTGTGCTACTCTGCTGCTGAGTATGCATGCCCAGTGTGGAACACATCTCACCACACTAAAACAGTGGATGTGGCTCTTAATGAGACATGCCGCATTATCACGGGTGTCTGCGCCCTACACCACTGGAGAAATTACACTGCTTAGCCGGTATTGCACCACCTGACATCCACCAGGAAGTAGCAGCCAATAGTGAAAGGACCAAGGCAGAGACATCTCCAGCTCATCCCCTGTTTGGGTATCAGCCAGCACATCAACGACTTAAATCTAGAAATAGTTTTCTAAGATCTACAAAGACACTCGCTGGAACACCTCAGCAAGCGAGAGTCCAAAAGTGGCAGGCTCAAACCCAGAACCTCAACCAATGGCTGATACCAAATGAGAGACTCCCCCCTGGGCACACAGAAGACTGGGCGACTTGGAAGGCGCTGAACAGACTGCGCTCTGGCACCACAAGATGCAGAGCCAACCTTAAGAAATGGGGCTACAAAGTGGAATCCTCGATGTGCGAGCATGGAGAGGAGCAAACCACTGACCACCTGCTGCAATGCAAACCTGAGCCCTGCCACATGCACAATGGAGGACCTTCTTGCAGCAACACCAGAAGCACTCCAAGTGGCCAGATACTGGTCAAAGGACATTTAATCAACTACCAAACTCACAAATTTTGTATTTTGTCTGTTTGTTTGCTTTGTTCTGTTAAAAATGTAATATAATTGACTGGTTGCCCTGACACGACAAATAAATAAAAATGACAAACACATGCTAACATAGTAGCCACAAATAGGATATTGTCATTTAGCCTCTTATTTATATTCTAAGCAGGTAAAACTCCTTGCTTGTTGACATCAGGCAGTGCTATATATTCTTCTTACCAGCAGATGGAGCTTATGTAAAGCAGTTATTTTTGTGAAATTGCAGAGGGAGAAATGAAGCTGCCGGGTCAGTACATAGGGCCCTTTGAAATTCCATGTGCAACAAGAACAAAACAAATTATTGCTATGAAAACAAAATCACAATCTAAATATCACCACCAAAGGAGTCCCAACTAAGGACATTAGGAGCTGCAAGGCATGGGATGGGTTAGTCAGGTTTTCTAAAGTACCGTAACACCTGTAATTTCCAGCTCCTTAAGCATTGACAGCTCTGCCACATTCTGCATATGGCGACAAATCCAACTGCTTCCTGTGTCAGAAATGAAATACAAAATTCAAGTTAAGAAAACAGGTGAAATGGGAGAGCTGAAAGGTAACCCAGTTGTATAGAAAACCTGTAGAGTTGAGTCATACTTTTTAGACACAACTGGAATCTCATTAGATGAATTGGACAAAACTAAAAGATTTCTCATTACATATATGCTTTAAAAACATGTCCCACCACAGACCTGAGATGCTCATGTTGATGCAGTACGGTACATTCTGTGTTGTAATTCAGCGTGATGGTAACGTTACTACTACTGGTAGAAGGGAGAAGAGGTCTGTGCAGGTGTTAGAGGAGGAGCAGCAAGCGGATTAGGGAGATAATCATGGCCCCAAGTGATTCTGAGACGTTTGAGGGCTTCTCCGATTGTGAAATGGGGGATGGGGAGGAGAGCAGGGGAGTAAAGCGGGCTACTCGCGATCAAGAGTCCGACGAGGAGCTTCAGAGGAAGCGCATCCGGGAAATACTTAGCGCTCCTACAGAGGACGAGGATTTCATGGGGTTTGAAAGGAGTGATGGGTCTGGGAGTGATATGGGAGAGGAGGATGAGCTGGATTGGACCCGTGTTCAACAGATTAGGGACATTTGTAACCAACCCACCTCCAGTGATGAATTTGAGGGGTTCACAGGGGATTGGCAACCGGGGAGCACTTGGCAAGATCTAAGTCTTGGCAGACGCTGGTAGAGGTGGAGGGATGGGCGCTCGGGTTCAGCTGCGGGGATGGAGGCAGCTGAGAGCGATGAGGAAAGGGTGGGGAGCTCATCATCCTCTAATGAGGAGCTTTAGGATAAAAGTGGGTTTTGAATGTATGGCTCTTTGTAGAAGGCAAAGTGTCTCTTTTGGGATGTGAATCTTTGTTACTGCGAACTCTCGAGCTTGGGTCCTTGGACTACAGATTCCTGTGTTGCTGTGTTCCTGGGCTCCTGAGTTCCCATATTTACCTTTACTCAACGGCTTGACTACGGACCGGTTTGACCAACGCTTTTGTCTTTTGGACTTCTCTATTGCTAACTACGTGTTTGGACCTTGCATCGTTCTGGAACTACGTTTTCTTATCTCCTGTGACTGTGTTTTTGAATTGTGTGAACTTTCAAGCAGATTGCTGAACTTTTCTGTTAACCCGGATTAAACAGCGATATAATCCGGGTTATATTTTTGTTGCTGGTATCGCTTCGTTTTTGATGCCAAATTACTACCTAAGTTCAATGCACTGAAGTTAAGTGCTTTAAAAGACTCTTTTTGTGTAATAAAGCTGTGTTTGAACCTTCTACCTTGTGTTTGGCTCTATTTAAGGCTTCTGGGTCTTGACATTCTGCCTGTACAGAACCCTTCTAGGGCAGTGCAGTGTAGTTGACATCATTTTGATTGGTGACTTGATCACTAAATATGCAAAGCACAATAAGCTCATAACACCATTTCCTAGCACGACATTTGGGCCTCCAAGGCCTTAATTGTGGTATTTATTTTATTTATTTATTTACATCGCTTCTACCCCACCGATGGGACCGAAAGCAGGGCCTCCTATGTTGCGTAACTGCTACTATCACATGTTCCCCTCCTAACCCCTGCCTGGAAATTGTCCACAGGTTTTTCTTAACCAGTTACAACAGTGGGAAGTAGTGGCGTACATGAGGATCTTTGGGCGGGGGGGAAGAGGTGGAGAAAAGGTTATCCAATTCCTCCAGGACTGTAAAGCAGAGTGAGACGTCCAATTCAGGTGCAAGAGCACAAATGAATTGTATACTCCCTCGGTTGCTGGTCCTCGGGGATTGGGACGTGGTCTAGTTGCCTACGTGAAGAGAGCAGCTCCATCTTATTTCAGCCCACACAACCAGTATTTCACTCTCAGAGGGTTGGCAGTGGCAGAGCGAATGATGGTGCTTGAGAGAGCTTGAGCCATTGGTGTAGTTAAACAATACCCACATAATTACTGGTAGCTTCATTTCCTGTCTAATCTCAATGTATGCCATCAGATTGTTGATCATCACTGGAAATCCATAGCCTCCAATTTTCTCAGTGTAGTAGGAACAGTGCCAATTAATCATCAATAGTCTTACTTTTCACATGCTATTAAAATGTCCTAGTTTTCCTCTTCTCCAGCTACCTTTCCCCTTTGTCCTCAGCTTACTTCAATTTCTACCAACTGATTTCAAAGTACAAAAGTAATTTATATTGATTTGCCATATTTCATCGCATAATAGTCGCCCTTTTATTTGATTAAAAAGGGGGATGTGACTATTATGTGATAAAAACTGCCTTTAATTCTCTGGTTTTTGTTTATTTAAAAATAAACTGCTATACCGCACAGGAGGGGGGATGATCCAGATCAAACAAACAGCTCTGTTTCTGTTTGTTTGCTTGTTTTTTAAACTGTCTTCT